TATTATTATTATTATTATTATTATTATTATTATTATTATTATTATTATTATTATTATTAGATAAAGATAAATGATCTTTACCTGATCTTAACGCCTCCATTGAACAATATAAGCACCTCTTATCTCTTCTTTCCGGTTTCCAGTAATTCTTCTAAAAATATTCCCTTTCATATGATGTACAAATACTTTTTGAGATTTTTAGAATAATAGATCAAGACCAGACACCCTGTATATACTTTCTTAGAATCTAGGGAAAATTATAGACCGCTGTTACGAATGCAATTATCAGGTAGTCGACTTTTGGATGGCGCGTAACACGTTTTGTAATTCAGTTCGGCGAAATTGTGCGATTTTCTCATCAGCATCTCGACCGCGTGAAATCAGATTAGCGATAAACGAACTCGCTTCGTTACATCGTTACACGTTACGATATCAATTTGTAGCATGGAAGACCCGTTACAGTATGAATGATAATAATCGAAGTTTAGAGTTTAGCACCTATCATTGGTACAATATTTCGAAAACATTTTTGTGTGTTAAGTCTCAGACTTGTTAGAATGTTGTGTTAAATCCGTTCGCTGCAAATTCTATTTTTCCAAGTAGGAAAATAAATTTCCGAACGAATAAGTATATAACACAATAATTCACAGATAATTAGAATACTAATCGCGTAGAACTCATTAAGAAATCATATTCAACAATACTAAGTAAAGCGATATATACATATTTCATTTTACAGACACGTAAACGTCTCAATTTTCCATAGATCATAGTTTTTCCAAAATCACATCTTCATCTTCTCTAATCTTTCAATAATTCCATAACTCCTAGATATACAAATCCTTGTGACGATAAAGTCTCCTCACTAAGTAAACTCTTTCTCAGCTCTCAGTACCTAAGGTATTAAGTACATATATACATCTGCAGGATAAAGTCATTCAGACATCATCCATCTCAAGCGTCAATGCATTATGTAGACTTAATGAGTTGCCTCTCAAACGAAACATAGGTATTGATTTATTATTTCTAATAGACTCAATACGGTCATAAAAACAGCCAAGCGTGTTGAAGAATGTACAGATATCATACAACACCGATGATGTGCAAGAGTATTCCTCTTATTCCAGTGCTGTCTCATATGCTAACTTGTAATCTATAGGTATATTTGATTATTTTTTTACGTACTCATCAGTACTTTAGTTCATAAAAAAATGCACCCACCGCACCCGTAGTTTTGCTTTAGACTTCAAAACTTGTATACTTCACTATACAATCCCCTCCATTAAGTATACCATCTCTACACAGTACACGTTAAGATTAACATTAAGGTTGACTTGATTATTATCCGTTTTAGATGAACAAGGAGTGACACACACTTGGAAAGAAAGACAAAGAAGAAGAGACGGTGAAAGACACAGCCAGGTAGCTGTCTATTCGAAGCCACCCTCGCGCTTTACAGACTGCAGTATCCTGTGCTGCGCATATCGGTACCGAACCCCTATGACGGAAAATAATGAAAGTAATGGGAACCCGCCCACTGCATTTAGTCCGCGCAGCTACCAACCCCCATTCATCCCCTCGCTGCCTCTCTCGTCGTTCCTCTGCCCACCCTGTCCGCATCACCGGGGGTTCTCTGTACTTGCCGCCTTGTTCATTCTCATCCATCCTAGCCTTGCTCCATTGGCTATTGTACCTGCCATTTCATTGTCCTTTATTTCATTATTTTCGCCGCATTCCTGTCTCCCTTTTGCCTGGCAAGGGGTGCGAATTTTCCCCCTTTATTTACGGTGCCGTAATAACAGACGTCTTAACGGAATTTAAACGTCATAAATGGCCTGCCATGATCTCATTAGTTTACGAGATAGTTGCTTTCTCTTCCTACCTTTTCTCTTCTGCTTGTTGCCTGTGTGGTTCCGTTGCTCGGCGTACGACAAAGCTTATTCGAGAGCGAGCAATATCGCGAACCTGAGATCTGCCGTTTCGACATCAAAGAAAATATTTTGTAATATAGCTTATGCGTGCGCACGATTCAATGTTGAATGCGAATGTTCAAAGTAGACAGAGCCGAAAGAGTGCGTCGAAATAAAGCTGATGTTGGTACACGGTATTCTGAAGATTTGGTCGTTGTTGAAGTTTATTTTAAGCTCTTAATCGGTTAGAATAATATTGGTGATAATTAGGCTGCGGACATTTATGATATGCAAAAATTTTGTTCGCTCATTATATATACACATTCTGACAAGTATTTAGATATTTCACATACTTTTTGCGTATTATGGGTATAATATGTATTTTTGTATCTTTAAATTTTCCATAAACGCAAAACAATCTGCAATCTAGTAGTAATCTTTATGGATGTGTTTCTATCTAATATCGTACAGTATGTTCAGAAGAATTGGTACTTCGTGTCCTATATAAGATTTTAACAAATTGTTTACTAACTGTTTGTTACATCACATGCGTAAAATTCATTAACCGTTCTTTAATCTTTTCCAGACATTTTCTGTGATAAAATACGTGCCTTTATTCTTCATATCTTGAACGAGGGTGTATGTCAGGAGAAGGTGTGATGAAAGGTTTTGACGCTTGACCCTTGCTGAACGTGTCGATGAAGCGGCGAAGGAAAGGAATGAGAAATAACGTTATCGGTAAAAGTATTTTCTCTTACCTAATATTTCTCGCCGTACAAATATCATATTTGTAAGAGAGATTTCATCCGAGAATTTTCTTCTTTTTCGATACAGATGCAATCACCCTATAAAACCTACCTAAACATTTCTCGCCTGCGTTTCACATCTCTAAAATGTCACTTACCTATCGAATTCCAAGCAAGTACGCTTTAATTGTATCAAAGGAGCAAACTTTCTCCTCGAATTATCGGCTTATGTAACCAACCAGCCTACGATACTGTGCAAAGGTCTTAGACGATCATTCAGAGCGACCAAACGAAGCTAAACGAAAAGAACCGACAGAGCAGAATAAATTTCCTAAAAAAAGAAAAAAAGAAAAAGAAAAATTCATACAGCCAATAGCAAAATTTCCAGAATCATAATCCACGAAAATATATAGCAAGAAGTGATCCAACATTCCCAAAAGAGCGATCTCCGGCAAAACACCGTCTTCCATCGTCCACATACAAACAATCAACGGAATATCGTTGCACAAGTGTTTTTTCCGTTACAAAACACCATGATCCATCGTAGATCCGTATTTGAGAATATGCAGCGTGATTTAGCCTGGGTAATATGATTATAGGTCTCTGTCTCTCTCGCATCCTCTGGTTCCTCCATGTCTCTGCCTCTCTCATCTCTCTTCTCACCCCTCTGCTTGGCAATGTGTGTGCGTGCGCGTCTGTTGGACCGTCCTTTTCATCCACCCCCACGAATCTCCGGCGCCGCAAGGGGATGAGAACGCCGACACCTCCACCCTCTCTCTATACACGCTCCTGAATCCAGAAAGAGAGAGAGAGAGAGAGAGAGAGAAAGAGAGTGAGAGAGTAACTCTGCTCGCTCTGGCTCTGATCCCTCGCAATTACTTCCCATTATCTGGGTATTAGGATTCACCCCAACTGGGAGCAGCACGACGTGTTCCGCAGACTCCGCCTATGCCTTCGTGCTCAGCCGGAAACGCTCCGGGACTGTCAGCTCGCGATATCCCCCTTTTCTTTCTTTCTAGACACGATCGCGACCTCTAACGTTCGGCAACAGGTAGCAAAAGACGGTCGTGGCAAAGTCCTTGTCCTTGGCATTTGTCCCTCGTCCATTTCGACATCGATCTCCTGGATCTGTTGGATTCATACGTCTGCCGCACAATTTTCGGAGATTCTGGAAATTTATCTTTTCTTTTTATTTTTCATTACTTGTTCCCTCGCGGTATTTCGGTATTAAGCTTTCTAGGATAGATAATTTACGTATCTTCCACGAAGAAATATCATGTTTCGATTAGGTGGAAACTTTTTAATCTTCCCTTTTTGGTTTTTGGTTCGTTGGTTTTCGGAGTTTGTAGTTTCAGAATCTCCGAGTTCGGTGGTTTACCGATGAAGAATTTTCTCAGCTTCTGAAAATTTGTTGATCTCTTCTTTTTCTTCTTGTTTTGTTTTTTTTCTTCTTTTTATTACTTATGTGGAGGGTTTCGGCTTTGAGATTTCTAGGATCGGTGATTCATTGTACGTCGATTCTGAAGGGTATTTAAGGTTCTGAAAATTTTATAATGATTTCTTCTTATCTTCTATTTTTTCGCTTATGGCTTATGGTTTTTAGCTTTTGCTTTTAAACAGAACATCGTTAAAAAGATTCAACCGAACGCGGCTTACGCGTCTAATTTTGTACAGGAGTTTTGTAAGGAAGCTCAGTCGGGGGATGAAACATGATTCACGGTTTAATTCACGGAATTAAGCCGAGATTAACTGCTTCTTTAGCTCGTGGAGTGCGTTAAGCCTCGAAAATGTCCCAAACGACGGGCAGAAAATGTCAGGCTGTCAATTAACGGAATGATAATGTTGCACGAAAGGCGACCTCGTCGTTCATGACCCGCGACAACCTATAAATGTCAATTACGATACTTATCTGTCGTCTATAGGAACGCGCCAAATCTAATTTGAAAATTAGTTCGTCTATCTTTTAACTCTTCGCTTTACTTACTTTAAATAAAAAAATATAGAATTTTAAAAAAGAAACTGCATAATTTTATACGACAGTATTTCCTCTTCTTTCCTTCTCTCTTCTTCCAAATAAATGACTCTTATTTTAAATAAATAAAAGTTATACGAATTGTAATATGTAACTCTAAGGAAATTTAGCCAAGGAGAAGGAAAAATAACGAATCTGTACAAACCTTTTTCTTCCTCTTTTCTTTTTAAATAAATCACACCCGTTCAAATGACAACGCGTGATCGTAAAATGTGATCTTCCTGTCTTTAAACAAGTAACACTGAATCGAATCGTAACTATAAAAAGGACTTCTAACTGGGGAAAGGGAGGAAGTGATTATTATACATCGCGTTACATCATGACATTTTAATCCCAACTTGAATCACAAGCTAACTTTCTACTTCGCTATAAAAAGTGACTCGAAACAGACTAGCTTTATTATGGCATTTCGCTATAAAAAGTGTCGCGAGAGATCGACCAGACTCTAATCGCTAAAGAGTCATTTACAAGTCGTTTACACTTTCTACATCGTCTCGAGTCTTTCGATCTTCTTATATTACACCATTTCATTGTACACTATTCCTTCAATCACAAATTCATTCTTAACACTGAAAGTGTCGTTCGTATTTCTTTCACGTTCTTTCACGTTGTTCTATTAGTCACTGGTTCAAAACGAAGAGTCCCTCCTAACAATCTTGTTCGATAAGCGAGACAGTATTACTTTTATCATCCATCGTCGGATCTAGGTGGTTTAGAATCGTCAATTCTTCTCGTTCCTTAAATGAAAATATTCAAATTGTCTAAATCAATCTGTAGAAACATTTTGCTCCGATAAATAAAATTTCACAATTAATGGAAAATGTCGTCGAGGAAATTCTTTCGAAATCGCATTGCGGATCTTCGTATTTCCCGAAGGACTTCCTAACAGTTGTTTAAACCGATTGACTGCACTTTGAGAGAAACGATTCGAGCGTTTAGAAAAATCCACGTGATTTCTCTCGGTTCTCCCTTCTCAAATCTTCCTTCAATTTCTCAGACCGATCACTCGGTTTCTCGTTCTTCGATGCAATGTCTGCATTTACTAGCTCAGATTAAACGTTCTCCCGTGTGAAAGAGCAATATCAACCTTGTACTGTTTCGTTTCAGCGATGTTGGCGTTGAATAGCTTGTCCGTGTTGGGGTTGATGAGACAGGCTAACCGAATGACGATACGTGATCTGATGAAAACTCGTCGGTGAACCGGCACGCCTAGAGACGTGAATATTGCCTGTTCGCGTTGGCGATGGCGTCTCGTCACCTAGAACGTCGATTTCATCGTCGTCGGAGTCTACCGGCGCGTCACTGCTCGCCCGTGATTCTCGCCCGCCGCTCAGAGAGAAATCCACCGGTCGTTCTGTAAACAATTTCATCGCAAACAAGCTCGTTATTTATTTCTGCAAGTTTATGGGATTTTTTAACGAGTTTTTGTGTGATTATGTTGTGTCGTATGATTATGTGTCTATTATATATCTATATTTTTATGTCGATGGATCCCTAAATCTCTATATCGTATATTTATTTCTCCATCCGTACATCGTAGTTTTTCGATACGATTCATTATCTTAAATCTAAGTTAGCGTTACACCACAAACGTCAAATTTAGGACCTAGTCTCTATAAGTTTCTATATTTCTATATCTTTATGTCGATGGATCCCTAAGTCTCTATATTGTACATTTACTTCTCTATCCATACATTGTAGATTTTGGATAGGATCCAGTAACCTAAATCTAAGTTAGCGTTACACCATAAACGTGAAACTTAGCACCTACAGCCCCTAGTCTCTATAAGTTTCTATATTTCTATATTTTTATGCTTATGGATTCCTAGAAGTATCTAGAAGCAGGCTGAGTCTGCATATTTTTATATTTGTAAGTCCATAGATTCCTAAGTCTGTATTTCTAGATCTACAGATACCTGGATCTCCAGGCTGTTACATATATTCCTAGGTCTACAGATTTTTAGGATTCTGTGGTTCAGTATTCCTATATTTCTAGATCTGTAAATTTATAGGTCTCGATATCTTTAGATTTCAATATGTATCTCTGTACTTCCAAGTCTGTAGATCCCTAGATCTACGTATTTGTATATTTTTATATTCCTAGCTTTGTAAATCTCCGTATTTCTACATGTCTAGGTGTCAACATCTCTATACTCCGCTTCTTCTGTACTTTTATGTTTTTTTGTCATCCCTCCACTTCTATATATTTCCTGTACAAATTCGCGTAGAAGAGATTAATTCAAATTCATCTTCGTTCTGTTTGAAGAAAACAAAAGTAGCACGAAGACATTTAGTTAAAGAAATAAACATAATAATCGAAGGTTACTATTTTAACGAGTGGTTAACGTATTGACGGGAAACAGTGTAAACACAGTTCAGAACAAGAGGAATTTGACCACGGTAAGGCAGGATATTCGCTGAGAGTTCTACATCGAAATTATAGATATGTATTCGTCTGGTAGAATTTACTAGTTCTACAAACAGAATCGACAACTTTAAATTAAATTTCTCATTGAAATCGCCTATAAAATCATGAATTTCAAACCGAATTTCATATAGGAATTCTACGTTTCCGTATCTCAAAGAAGCATTCTTATTAATTTCAGATCTCCGAATACGCAAGATTCTTCGTCATCTTCCAATTTCTTTACCTCAAAAAAAAAAAAAAAAAGAAAAAAAGAAGAAGGAAGAAGGAAGAAAATATACGAATGCCATTAATTGCCACGATTCGAAGCTAATCAAACGCACCACCAGACGTTATACGAAACCCTAACGAAACCGAAAGGAAGCGTAACCGACAGAGAAAATGCCTCTAAAAAGCTACCTCCCCGGTTCTTATCTCGGTGGTCAGAAAATCGACTGATCAAATTGGGTCAGATATGTGCCGGTACACAACTATAAGGTCCTCGACAGCAGCCCTCGGCCGTGGGCAATCGTGAATGTAGGTCTGGCCAAGCACTTAGCCGATAATTGACTAATTTTCTCGAAGACCGAATCGAGAAGACAAGAGGTAAGAACAAGGTTCGTAAGACGTTCAGTCGGGAGCAACAGAGAAACATGCGATAAGAAAGTGATAGATGGATAGAGATAGATAGATAGACAGAGAGAGAGAGAGAGAGAGAGAAATTGGTGGTGGGGTGTCGTAACTCTGCAGTGGGTTCCTTAGACGGTATCCGTTGGAGTCTCTCGAGGACAAGGCGGTCTCATCTTCTACGTGCTTTCCACCCCTTACAACCCCCTTCTTCTTGGCTACCAAGGAGACGTCTACTAACTTCGTTAGCCCTTCCTACCGAACGAAGCCATCTTGGCTACCGAGACGAGCAACTTGCCGAAGGTTATGAGTAGATGCGGTGTAAGTCGCAACGGGGTCGGGGGTGAGTTCGAATCGTGCACCCCCGGTTCAGAGAGCGATCGTTTCGTGAAGATACAACATTGTTGGAAAAATATACCGCCTTATGGTGTTTAATACGATATAGATGTATCATACATTTTCTATTTTATTGTTTAATATAACGTATGTAAGATATAATACATTGATATTGTATATGTATATGCGTATATGTAATATACAGTGGCGGACAAGGGAAAGTTTATAAAATAAGAAGTATAGAAAGACGTCATGATTGTACAAAATGAAGTTACATTTAATAAGAGCAATGAAGAAATATAATATATACGGCAGAATAGATGATCGTTATCAACATCGAAAGTTACTAAAATTCATATCAATTTTAAACATTCTTTTATCAAGCACTGTATGTTACATTATATATAATGCCGGCATTACGAGGAATTGAATATTTACTGCGTTATATTTTTGCAACTGTCTCATCATATTGTATTTAGATACAGTACAATTGCGGTAATATATTAGGTTGTCCGAGAAGTTTCTATCGTTTTATGCGGAAATAATAGATGCACAACATTTTTGTTTTATATTATCTTATTAAATTATGTATGACCCATTTTGTTCTATTTCCATTATCATGATCATACATAATTCAATAAAATAATATAAAACAAAAAATGTTGTGCATCTGTTATTTCCTTATAAAACTTATAAAAGAAACTTTTCAGACAAGCTGATATATATTTTTAAACCTTATAAAAGAAACTTTTCAGACAAGCTAATATATATGAAAATTCTAGAACCCAGAAAATTGTACAAATTTGGGAATGTATATTTTCTTATGTATTTTTAACCGTACGTTGTGCCGTTTTCTCAGTGAAAGTTTAATAAACAAGACAGTTGGTTAGAATAGCGTATTAAGAATAGCATTAGGATTAATTTTATATCTTTTTAAAATAATTCAGAGGAAAGGTTCCTCCGAGAAGGAGTAAGCGGAATAAAGCAGTATTTTCGTTCGCGAACGTGAACGTTACAGCTTTAAATCAATTCACGCGAGCAATCCGATTTAATTATTCCCAGATCACGGCATTTACTACATTATAACAGCGTCGATCGTGCACCATTGTGCGTGCACAAAGCGGTACAGTTATCGGGAATTATTGCTCGATCTATTTGCACGACGCTGTTGTTTCGTCTTCTACGTTGTTTACGGTGTTGTAATTCACGTGATAAATACTTACGCGATACAGAGAGCTTTGCATGTAAATGAATTCTTTTTTAATCAACAAATCAGAATCGAAATTTGAAAGTGAAACAAGAAATATTACTACTCTGTTGCTTACTCTCTAAATCTACATGTTCATTTATATTTCAACTTGTCGTAACTATAACTTAAAACTAAAAACGATAGCCCGTATCATATTACGATATCATTACAACATCGTCGTCGCGATAACTAGTAGGAGATACATATCGACATTTATTATTCGTTTACTGCGATGTAACAATTTTCGATTGTGAAGTGCTAACAGATAGCGCCTGATAAACGAAGATACTTAGATTAAATTAGTAATAACGAATGAAAATACTTCTTTTATAACTGCGCCGTATAATTTGACGTTGAAATCCGATGTAAAAATCTTACGCGAATCTTACGAAAATCGAAGACAATTCAATTTAACAGCAATGCTATCCTACCAGGCGGTCGAACGACCGGTTTCAAAATTTAATTTAAAATTGTACATTCATTGTTATTTCTTTCGTTCGTTTAACTTATCTGATTAATCAATTAATATAAGAATTTACATAATATTAGACGAACGAAAGAGATGACAATGAATGTACGATTTTAAATTAAATGTTGAAAGCGGTCGTGTTAATCCTTAAATATCATTTATTTGCGAGAATTTGTTTCAATATTTAGAAACATAGAGATGCGCATATTGCTCTATTAAAGATCGTTCAGACGATCAATATTATTGTCAATATTTAAAGTTCTCAACGTTATCGCATCTAAGAGATCCTCCAGACGATCGATATATACCGTCAATACGATGTTGAGAATCTCAAATATCTACAATAATATTGATCGTCTGAACGCTCTTCTGTATACAGTTTTCTCGAATGAAAAATTATGTCATCCTCCTCTACCAATTTTCCTTTGAGTCTCTCTCTCATTGCATCGTTGTTATTCGCATTTTCTTCATAAAAGAATACGGAAACAATATAATCGAGCGTACGAAAGCCTGTTGAAGCGGAATTTAGAGGAAGGATAACAGAGGGCTAAACCGGAGGATAGGAATTGTGGGAAATTGTACGGCAAAAAGCGGTCATTATCCATGCAACGGTAGTTAATCATTATAGTTACTGCGACCTCGGTTATGGTCTGGTTAGTTAACTAAAGTTGCGTAATTTATTGCCAGCCGAATTTTGGTTGCATTATATGGTCCATTAGCATGATAACAGGGAACTATTTGACGTACACGGAAATTCCGACGCGCTGCCCGCGCTCGAATGCAAATTGATAATCACAATTACGAAGTTTATACTAATAATGATTTAATTGCGATACACAAGCCACCATCTACTTTCAGCCACGATTATTACTTTTCTGCTGGCTACGACGACGACCAATTACTGCGCGCGAAATCGTTAACAATTCTCTATCTGTCCGCCAACTGCACTTCGTTTCTTTAGTTTTTTCTTCATCTTTTTTCCTCGTCTCCTCTTTTCTATCTCCTCGGTAAATATTTAGTTTGAATCGGAATTTAGCGTACAATAATACGATTACTGTAATTATCAGGTTGCGAGTATTTCTACAAATTCACATTTTTAAAAGAGTAGGACAGAAGCAGCGATTTGTTATATAAATACCATAACGACGAGTATTGATACTTTCGATATATATTCTTGCGTGTTACGTGCATTTCACGCTTCTTTTTCCTTTTTACAGCTTCCCATAAATGAACAAAGATGCGAAGACTGGTAATCGTTTAGTTGATATCGAGATCAGAAGAATGATAGAAGCGTTTTCTCAAGAAGAAGATGGGACTAAATCGTCTGATCACCGTTGATCAGTAATCCAACTAACATCACGAGGCGTATTCCGAAAAAGTTGAGCTTTTAAATTACGCAATTAGAATACGAGAATTCACTTGAAACAGCAGAAATATGAACGTGATTCTGAATCGGACGAATATGATCGTTATTTCTGACGAAGAAACGATAGCAAGAAGGACATCTTTAAAAATCCTTAGGATTTCCCTTTTCTTCGCATGCGTGAAATTATATGAGAAAACAGGATTCGATAACGCAAACTGACCGAAAGAAAAAAAGAAAGAACATTGCAAACGAGATATCACTTTAACAAAACTTTGATCATTTCGATATGTTTGCGACGTTTTTAAACTTTCAAGAGCGATATTCAATATCGCGGACTTGTTCCCAGTTTTTATAGAGTGTCTTTCTTTTTTTTTTTTCCTGCCGACGTAGAATTCCAAATATGATTTATGAGCAATTGATTATGTAGGACACATCGTGTTGTTAATCCGAGCTAATTGATGCGAAGCAACGCGAGCGGTCGCGTGTTTATCGAAAAGTCGATACATGTGTTTAGCGGTAATTACGCATTGTTAGGCGGATACGAAACTGCACGGGGGTTCCAGCAATTGCAATTAAACGCTTGCATTAGCTACGCGATGCGTGAAAATTTTAAGCGTCATCGAGTTTATAATAGGAAGCTAACTTTCCATTTTATCAGCTATAACTTTCCCCTGAAGTCGTGATCGCCCGTTTCGCCTGTCTGATCACCTGTCCTCAAAGTCTTTTTACCTTTCCAATTTGTTACCCAACTTTCGTGTATGCAGCTCGTTCGATCCGTAATAATTTTATTACGAAAACAAAATCTTGTATTCGCTTTAAGAAAAGTCGAATGTATTGTTCAATTCGTTGTTCAGAGGGCAAGACGTTGGAACTTTCACGTGTTCAAATAAAAGTTTAAATAGACGTTCGATGTTCAAACGCATAAGTAGCAAGTCGCTGACGAGTAGAATACATACACGACGCTTTGAATTCGAGTTTACAAAACGATATTGCTGACACAAAGATTTTAAGAATTGTATGGGCAATTATAAACAGATTTCAGAGATAGATAGATATTCAAAGATATTACGAATACGATGATTCAGATACGTCGCCAATAGCGAAAATCACGATCTATGATTCATATTTCATTTCATAAGAATTCTTTTCGCAAACGTTGAAGTGATTCTTGCACGAATCGCTTTAAAACATAACTTGCAAACAAATTGTACGTTAGACAAGATATATACTAGTTACGATACGTTCTCGTAATTCTTAATCATTTCTAGCGCTAATGTAAGATCGTATATCAGACGAGACATATGATATACTGATTGTGATAAACTCTCGTAACTGTTAATCGTTCCTAGTGTCAATAATTCCATTTTTTTTTATAAAAACGCGGAAAAACATAGATATTTTCGTTCAATTTTATACCATCACGGTCTCAAAACTTACTAATCTTTCGCGAAATTGTCAGGCGAGAGTTAAACCCTTAATTACATAATTACGCGAAAGTTAAACCCTTGAAAAAAATGTGTACACGTTAGCTGTTTTATTTGTAACGCATATCGAGCCTGAATCTGCAACAATCTTTTCTAGATTCTGTTGTAAACGAAGTCTAGCTTTAATTATTATCAGGATGGAAGAATATGAGATTTGCTTACCGGCAGGCGATGTAACGGAAACGGATTGACCGGTGCATTGCTGATTAGAATTCTGGTTGCCATTGCTTCCGGCGCTGGTGTTCAATTTCCTCAATTGTTTCTTGTGCTTCATCCGCCGATTTTGAAACCACGTTTTCACTTGGGTCTCCGAGAGGTGAAGAGCCGCCGCGAGCTCTACCCTCTCCGGTGTACTCAGGTACCTCTGCACCTCGAATCTAGCTTCCAAACCCGCTAATTGTTGATCACTGAACACCTAAATACGACACAAACGATTTCTTGCAAGCCTGTACGAACTTTTACTTATTTCGACAATAGCGTTTTTAGTAATTTCGTTCTGTTTGATAAAATTACTTGCACGATCGATCGATATTGTTTCGACGATTAAATTATTTCCCGTGACATTTCCACGAACGTTGTTAACCGTTTGTATTTAATCTTGTCATACCAAATTCATATAGAATTTCATTAGTAGCATACTTAGGAAGCCGAAGGTAAAATATCGCAGCTGTGAAAACGAGCAAAGATAGAATTTAGGTGATCGGACAATGGAATTTTCTTAGCGCAACAAACCACTTCAAACAAGCTTACGCTTATTACTAAATAGCTTTGGTTTCTCTATTGGCTAAATTACCAGGAAACGTTAATAACAGAAGCTAGAGCGACAATGTAAAAATTAAGGAAAGAATACAGTTGCGAAATTTACTATGGAAGAGCTTGGCTCGACATAAGAAACATACACAGAATGCTTCGAACCCTTGCTTTGCCATTTTCTTAGTAGCTATTTAAATGAAGTTAATTTAAGATGTAACTGTCCACTGTTGTAACACCATGTCGGATGCAAAATGTCGTGAAATTTAATCCGGTTAATGTTTAAACTAAAATTAATTCAATCTAAATTTCTAATAGTTCAAATCACAGTTATAAGTAAACTTCGTGGCTGAATTGGAAGTACGATCCGCGTTACGAGTACGATTCGATATTTTAACATTAGAATTGCCAATTATAATGAAAGAACTACGACGAAAATAAATCTATAATCATAATCATTCTTATTCCAATGAGATCAATATCGATTTCGTGAATAGCGCATTTGTATGTTTTCAGTAATTAAAAGAAAATGAAGGAATTAAAAAGCAAGTCTGTATAGCCGTAACGTTCCGGTATTTTTATCTTCGTATCGAGACGAGTGAATCATGCAAACGACCACCAGTGGAAGAGGCAAAAGATAAGGATTACAAGTGGTTTCACTCACTGTTCTTGCCTTTCGTCGACGGCAGTGCTTCAAGGCCGCAAGTTCAGTAACTCCCGGTACCACGCCAACCCCCATCGCCGTGTTACCAAAAAGTGGTCCCAGGAAGAAGGTTGCCGTAGGCGGTGCAGAAGGATAACCAGGTAATAAACTGGCGAATTGCTGGTATTGCTGATGTTGTACTCCGTGACCGGACGTGAGGTGCTGATGATGAAGTTGATGATGAGAATGCGGTGGAGCGGTTCCACGACTCAGGATATCTTCTATCAAAAACGATGTTCTGCTCGCGGAAGTTCCATTCTGACCTGGCTGGGCCTGTTGTTGCTGACAAGTGGACTGCATTTTTACCAAAATGAGCAACTTTTCAGCTATCGAACTTCGATTATTTGTATTGAAAGTTGCTTGTTTGTTACATAGTTGGCGAAGTTTTCTTTAAAAAGTTATATATATATCAATCATGTAAGTTTAATACCGTTAAGCTTGATTTCATTCGTTTGAATTTTTAACTCTAACTAAGTGTTTTTATTTTTTCTCGCTTTATTAGTTTGTTTTCATGTTATTTGTTCGACGATCGACGAGTGGCAATTCAACGTTGAAGATCTTGACCATTCGAAAAGCCCTGGTATCTTCTTCTATCTCATTTTAGAAATCCGCATAGAAACATTCCATTCGCCGGTGTAAGTGCCCTTAATTACTCTACATCTTACAACCGCACAATAAGATGCCATTTATCAGATGACCGACACAAACGTCTTCAATAACTCTACGTTCTATATCTTGCAGAAGTCCAGGCGACATTGTAACCAACTCATCGACCAATTACTTCTCAACATCCAGTTCAATCCGCAGTACATATCAACGTCTATCTGACAACAGATATAAACGTCTTCGATTACTCTACAATCTGTACTTTTCGTCCTAAATGCAGTCTTGCAATCAACGTCAGCAAACAATTAGTCCAGTTCAATCCATGGTAAATATTCCAACGACCACCGCCATCGAACCGATGCTTGGCCAAAGTTCACCAAAAATCCTGATCATCACGTTCACCAAGCACTAAGCTGCAGAAACTGGTTTCAGGGGCTGCAAACTCTCCAAAAAATGGACACGTACACTGTCCCGGTTCGCGTGCTGGGATCACCAAACGTGTTTGATCTCGCGTAAACTGCACTACTGCACTAAAGAAACTAGAGAAACAAAAATATACAGGCAATCCACTGTGGCAGGCGAGACTCGTTTTGGCGCGTTGCACGGGCGGCTTGCAGCGGAAAATTCTAATTGAATTGAAAGGGGAATCGAAGGCAAGCAGCTGTAGGAAGGAAGAACTCGCGGATCGTGGCGGCGTCGCGTCGTTCTTCGTCGACGTTTAGGGAGTATCGGTGCGCGATTCAAGGCGATTCAACCCCCCGCGCGCGCGATCATCTCCACCCTCAGCCGCTCTAACTGGTCAAGAAAAGTAAAGCTTGGGAAGCGGATATCGCGGGGCTCGAGTCACGTTGTTATTGGCCGGCGTCGCGACGCCACTCGCCCTCACGGTTGGCCCCGTGGCGAACGCGGGGCGGTACCATTGGCGCCGTTACCATGGACACGATGCTGTTTCGTCATAGGATTTCCTAGCCACCGACGCGGTTCTCTCTCACCCTTGTGTTCGCCGGAGCAACCCCCTCGGTGCCGGATCCGAAAGAGAAAGGGAGGAGGAAACCGTGGAGGTGGAGGTGGAGGAACGAGATGTTCTGTATTCGTGGTTCCCCATGTCGTCGTTGTGCATTCACATCCACTCCACGATAACGGTGTTCACGCGTGTACCTTTGAGGTAGCTTTTCCTACCGCTTAAATTGTATTTCTTTCGCCTTTATCTTTTTCTTTCCTTTACTTTTTTTCGCTGGTTTTTATTGCTCTTTTTTTTTTTTTAAGCATTCCCTCCGAGGATCCGCCGATCGTCCTTTGTTCCGAAGATGGCTGGTGGAGAATTTCAGATGAATTTTAAGGTATTTCTTTACGTTGCAGAGGTTCGATCGTTTATTTTCTACGCTATTGGTCGTATTTGTTTTTCCTCTCGGCATGAAATTTTGTTTTTCGCGGAATCTATGGTTGTATATGAACGAAGGAACGTGAAGAAATGTTGTATTTCGAGTTCTTCTGCTATATCGAAGTAGTATTTCGTTAGCGAAATTCTAAATTAGAAGAGCGAAGGTAATATGATGATATAGTAGCTTCATATTCTTGTTCACGAAAAACTAATAAAACCTTCTTGAAGAAGGCGATGCATTTCGTTTGTCTATTGTTGTTCGCATTTCATCACGTTCTTTCTCTCTCTCTTTTTCTCTCTTTCTCTCCGTCTGTTTTTTATCTCCTTTTTTACTTCTTTCTCATAAGTATTGATCCTCCGTCTGCGTTGAAGTATATAAAAGCTTTTCGCAAGTCAATACATCTGTATCGAATCTTGAAAGGATGGAGAATGCGGATCAGGAGGAGCAGGCGGATCAAAATTAGATTTACTCGTTGGACGATGTGTACACGACGCAGGATGTAGATACTTACGATGTAGGTCCAAAATAGATAGGTGTTCGTGTATATCCGTGTGTATGATCCTCTGTAGCTTAGCGTAGGCTCTCGATCAATGGAATTATTATGGCATCACGTCGTAGATGCTAACGCAATTTTTACGACGAGACGCCCTATGCAACCGCTAATTGCACCTACTGAGAAGAAGATTTCATAGTGTTTAACGAATTCTCAATCTGCGTCCCTTTCTCCTTTCTATTTTCCATACTTGTACTCATACTTATACATTCCTATCTTCTATGGGTATTTATATCTTTTCATATTTCTATAGTCTTACATTCTTACATACCGTTATCTTCATTTTTCCATACTTCCACAATTTTACATTTCTATTTCCTATACTTCCTTACACACTGTATACACATGTACATCCATATGACAAACTGCGAATCATAGCCAAGTTAAAATTCCAAAAATTTATATCTATGCACTTTTCCATCTTTCGATAGGTAACCAAGATGTAATTTCGCTGTCTATCGTGACGAGGCATTTTTGTTAACCCAAGGAGACACGTTCAGTGTTTGTAACACCTTGTAATCCCCACGAAGGAGAAAAACACAGGACCATCCTTTCCTACCTCCAACGCCGAAAATAGGTCTCGCCACTAACGATCAGATGCATCAAACGATGCATGATAGTCACAGTCGTTTAGTATCTAAATGATGCCGCGAAGGTTGGCGATTTCTCGTGTAACAAGTCCCGAGAGGGTGTGTTTAGAGCGCGGCGGTGGACTTTGCCAGCGGTTTCCGGAACATCAGGGGGAACAGGGGGCTAGTTTCGACAGCGCTAAGCTTGCGGACGGGATTTTCGGCTTTGCTATCGACATCGAGGGCCGGCTACGCCGTATTGCGGACCGTCGAGGGATCGACGGAACGGATGAATGGACACTCGTCGGTAACACAATTACCGGGATGTTAATTTACCCAATAATCGCGGAAGCAACCCCGTCTAAATGCCGGCACGCGCCACTTCCCCTTCCGCCGTCGCCTAAATAGAGACAGCCTCGCTCTAATGTCAGGGATGGATACATCGGCTCAGGTTTTACAGACGATTGCGTCGTTGCACGTGCGTTTTACCAAACAGCTCCAGCTACGTACAATGGTCTGTAACTGGTCTCTTTGTGCTGTGTATCGAACAAGGCAAATAAAGTTGAGCGACTTTGCAACTGTGGTGACACGATGGCTAACGTACTTTGAGAATCCTGAAGCGATTTTTCGCAGGCTGCGATGTTTAATTATAATCGACGGAGAAGCTTTGTATAGATGGTGTTTATGTAGGAATGTAAGAACATGTAATACAACGTAGATACTAGGAACATAGAAATATGTTTGCGTGTATGTAATGCATTGGAGTAACGTAAAGTCTGGTGATGTGTGTGGGAATTAAAGAAGAAGCTTAAGGAGTAGGAACATAGACGTATGGAATAATGGAAAATGAAGATATAATAAGGTAGAAACGTTAAAATATATAAATATAAAGATGGAAGGAGTAATATCTCCTTCTTACTTTGCTGATTTGTGCGTCACATCTCGACCAATATTCCTAGGAATTGTTCGTTACCTTTCGTGCCTTTTTGGTCGATATGTGAAGTCTCTGTGGAATAATGCGAGACAAAACCGAGTTATATCTAATATATTCGATATATTCTTGGTGCTAATAAAAATCCAGAGCATTGAGCGCAGTGCAGATAGTTAAGAGCAGCGTAAACGAACCGCTTGGAGATTCGTCAGGATAAAAATAATGTACTCGTAATCGTTCATCATCCAGACGGTAATTACACGCATATTTGAAAGTCAATCATGACACGTAAGTTTTCGCAAACGGATGTGTGAAACGATCGCTTAATTGTTTCTCGTCTAATTCTTCCAAAGAACTGTCGATCTCTTGCAAACGCGATTTTACCACAACAATAATTCCAAAACGATCTTCTTACCAATATTTTATTACAATATGCATTTTTATTACAAAACACGTACATCGTTGGATGATTAAATACATGTATACATGCGAACAGATTATCCACGATAGCTTATAAATCGTGATCAACATAAATTAATATCGTCGAAAAGACTGCGAATTGCTACAAAATATTTAACATTTCCGTTCCACACTCTTACCATATATAACGTATAAGTTTGATACTATCTTATCAAACTGTCGTATCTATCACCTTATCGTTTCTACTTCGTGTTTTATCACAAACACTTAATAAAGAAACGTACGATCGTCCATATCTGACAAATGATTCACAGTACACGCTTGCGCTATTTTTTCTACAAATTCCACCGTAGCTTGCTTTGTAAGCGAGACACAGCGATCGTCTGAATTGCTATTGAACTGCGTGATGTTTACACGTCTGTACGAAATTATGGCAATGCCAGAAATTATACAGGCGGTCTCGGTGATCGTTGTCGATTCTACGTGAAAAGATAAGTCGACAATGGAGAATGAAATTTGTACTCGTTAAAATGTTTGCCGAATGAAACGAATCTCTGCATTTACAAAGATACAAATTTGCATAAACATGCTTTTCAGTCTGGTCATTTTATTCGCCTCTTTTTACTAACGAGATAGAGGATTATTCATCGATAGGAGAAAATTCTCAGAATTCATCGTCGTCCGTGGCTCTCTTGTAGAAAGCTCGTGAGAAGGTGGCGGGTCCTTGAGTGCCGCAGAAGAAGAAGCCACGACGCCAGAAAACGAAAATCGTCAGGCAGACTGGAATGGCGAGCAACAGACCGACCAATACGCCGATCAGGATCGTCGCGTCCCTTTCCGGTTTTGCATTGTATAAGTCCAAGCAACGCAAGCTTCGATGGGATAACGAAGACAAGTTCTTGCCAGCGTGTTCCGGCGGGAAAGTACAGGTGAGTGAATCCAGCTCGTCTCCCATGAGCTTCTTGCCGTATGTTGGCAGCAACGTGCCAATCTAGAAAGAAGAAATTAATATCGTTGCATTTGTACGATTTCCACCTTATCGTTTTGTCATTTCTATCGTATTATTCTATTTTATAATTATTATATTCGAAACAAGAATTTCAATGCTTCATCTTGGATTATTAATTTTTACTATTTTCCATATGAAATTCCGTGCATTTCGTATCTTGTAAAATAATTTTGGAAACTCGTAATATCTTATATCGCACTTTTCTATTTTCCAACAGTTCCAGTGTTTAATACGAAAATTCGAAAAATCAAGTAGTTTAATATAATTTCAATCGTTATCGTCGCGCAGTTTTTCCTCGAACAAGACCAAACATACAACGAAAGCTACCGTGTTCCCGCATTGGGTTTCCAGGTATAGTTTCATTGGAATTCGGTTGAATGGAGAGAATATTTCATACGAGATACTCGGCCAAAAAGAGCGATGGAAGAGATATTTCAGAAAGACTAGATCGACCTGTAAATCGAAGACTACCAGCAGAGGAACACGTTAAGTCACATCTTTTTATTTCTTACTTCTCGTACTGCTGGAATTATTTTGATGCTTGCCTTTCTAGTCAAACATACGTTTCTTCGTTCTTCTAAACATATTTAAAATGTCGCTTTCCTTAATAATAATTATACTTCTGGCATTCCTTAATAATAATTATACTTTTGGCTTGCGTAAAACTTGATCAATTTACAACCGTTATATTTAAAAGATTGGCAACGCCTTTAGACTTAATTACTTTCGTTTTCAATGACACGTTATATTAACATTCTGCTGTTTAATCCGACAGTGAGACTAAAAATCAACAATGCTGCACGTAACAGATTTTTCACCTCTGATCTTCAATTGGCATCGAAGGAACGATCGATTGGTTGGATGGAAAGTACGCGATACAAATGGAAGTGGATTGTGCGTTTCGTGATTGCCAGAACTTACCAGATATTGATTATTGCAATCGCAGCTCCATTTGTTGTTCATCAGATCCAATTTTTCAAGCCAGTCCCATCTTGCTACCAATTGCTGAGGCAAATATCGCAGGGCGTTATCCGATAAATCGAGTTTCTTTAGTGGCGGCCACACAGGTGCCTCAGAGTTACTCTACAATAATTTATAATAATAATTTGGCACGTAATAACCGTTCTTATTCTATCTGAAGGGAAACGGACGAACAAATAAATGAAAATGATGAAAAGGAAATAGAACGTCGATCAATATGTTCCTCGGTTATGGATCGTATTAGAATTAAGTGGAGGAAGAAGGATGAAATTAATATAGCAAGAGATGGAATTAATAAAAGTTAAGTTAACGCGATTTAAATAAAAATTAACGAATCAATGGAACAATACGTAAAACTAACTGTTGTAACAGCTATTTCTGGATGAAGTTACCTGCGTGGCAAGAGCGTAATCATCGATCGATTCCAGTTTTGGACAGTTTTCTATACGAAGATGCTCGAGAGACGTCAAGCCTGAAAAGGCATATGGTCCAACGATCGTCAAATGAGGCATGCAACAGAGGCTTAACTCCTTCAGCTTTGGAATAAGTGGAAACGGGTGTGAGTGATTGATAATTTGAATTGGATTTTCGTCCAGGTAAAGCACCTCGAGCATCGTTGTTTCCTCGAGAGCTTTCGGAACAGATGTAAATAGATTTCCGCTTAAGTTAAGCTTCCTAAGGGATCTAATCAATTAATTATTAGTTAGCGTTCCATTTGATTAGACTTAAACGTAGAACGTGTCTTATCGTATTGTGAAGCCATACAGTGCACGAAGATACTATTAAACAATTTACCAAGACATTATGATAAAAGGAAAATAAATAAAAGAAAAATAATAATGGTCTTGCTTTTAATATGGTAATAGGGTAAAAATAAAGGAATAATTTCAGAGCAGACCTTGTATAAGACGGCTCGTTAATACAATTTTTTAATAATATTTTTATAAATCGTGGAATTCAGATGTGTCATATTTTATGAAAATGCCAGGAAAATTCAGAAGTGGAGAGAAAGAAAATACGGAACATTATTTGGCACACTGACATTTTGTAGAACTTTCTTTCAATTGTATAGCTTCACGCTGTTGAATGAATCACACAGATAAATTGTTAAATTATGGAAAAAGTATAGGAGAGAAGGATGGAACGAAGAAAAGGAAAAGATAAAAAGTAAGGGAAGAAGGGAGGGAAACAGAGAAAATAGGGAAGGAAAGGAGAGGGAAACGATATGGAATAATTGGCAAGGTTCAAGCAGGAATGAATGAGATATTAGATTCCTGTAAATTGATTACATGCATAAATGATCATTGTCCTCTCGTCCATAAAATACTATTTCTGTTCGTAACAATGTATCTGAATATACTGGAATTTTTAAGGACTATTGAAAATTGTTTACTCTTTCGTTTACGTTATATGTATGCTATACATGTATCAAATAATGACTGTATCTCGTTTCTCACTTTTTATGAATTTTATTTTTAATTAAATTATTAACGCGGCTATTTCAGCCAATTAAGAGATGTTCCTGTATATCTGAACTTCCTCTACATCAAATGTATTCCAATCATTTACACAAGTATGCACTTATATATCTTTGTATCACGGAATTTTATTAATAAGGCAAATTATATAAAGTTCCTTCTAAAATTACTTGCTGCACAAATATCTTTTTTCCCATTTTTTCACGCTCACTGTGTACGTCGATATATAACGGATAGCACGTTGGAATGCAAAAATACATATCGGCTACTGGCTTTGATTTAATAAACTATTCTGCTATTTGATATACCTACTTCACTGTTCTTAAGTCTATACAGTAAAATGGGTATATCAAATAATAGAATGGTTTATTGAGTTAAGTAAAGTAGTACGTAGACGTGTATTTTTACATTCCAACGTATTATCCGTGCTTATTGACGTATAACAGTGTGCGTAAAAGAAAAAGTATTCGCGCAGCAAGTAATTTCAGAAGCAGCTTTATGTAAACCGGTTTATTAATGATATCGATGAGGATAATAATTAAATCGATGTGAGATACAAACATCGTTCGAAGGTAATCAATTAGAGCACGAGCATATCGTCTAAGTAGACTGTTAATCTTTTTCTTCCCACTTTTTATATTTTTATTCGCTTTCAGAATCTTCTAAATAAACCATTTATGAGACTGTGTTTATACGAGACAAATTATCGAGAACAAAATTGGACTAGACCAAATTTTCTCAATGTGAGTTTATGAAATTAATTTACAAAGGTAAAGAAATCTATCTTATTTTTGCAAATGAAACCTAGAGAGCATAACGAAGCGATGTGTAATATAACTGTACCTGAAAAGTAAAAGAATACCAAGAAAAATGAGAAAAGAAATACATAGAGCGCTTTGACTTAACTTTTTTGAATTGAAAGACAACGGTATATCAGGTAATTAATTGAAACATTTTGGTGGAATAATTTCTCGAATATTGCAATTATTCCATTTTTACTCTCAATAATCCATATAATGAATATTTTGGTAGAAAAATGAAAAATAAAAAATAGACCAGTCCATGAAATACTTGACACACATCGTGTAATTTCATAGACGATATTGTACGTTATCGAGATTTGCTGTATAATAATTTGTAGAATGCTATATCTAGAGTTTGTTATCAGTATAATACGTTCTATCGAATCAGTTTCCGTTACTGTATCAATGTTTGCCTGATAGTTTGCAGTAGTATCGAGGAACTGAGATATTTACCTAGATGAGTAGAAATGAACGTCCGAAAGTGTCTTTAGGCGACAGTAACTCAAGTCTAACTCTTCCAGATACGGAAGAGAGCTGATCGCAATGGACGTACGTTCGTCGATTCTCGTGAACTGATTCCAGGAAAGGTTCAACACCTTCAGATTTTCCATGTGCTCGAAAAGATCTTGATGCAACGAATGGAGCACGTTATGAGCCAAGTCTAAGACCACTAGCTTTTCCAATGGTTCGTAAGCATCTGGTGAAAATTTGCCCTGAGGTATCAAGACATAGAGATGATTAAATTTTTAGAAGTATATGAGAAACGATTAAATCAAAGCTTGTTTCTTCTTTCAGGAATGCCAGTACCGTTTTGGAAAAGGTAATCTATATTATCAAATGCAATATGCTTTAAATATTAATTGTAAATTGAAATTTATAATTTAATTCTATCGAAGTTACGTTTCAGTTAATGTATTTAATATCCATAATACTGATTAGACGAAAAGAATATAAATGGATGTAACCAACGATGATAAGTAATTAATCGATTACTATTGATTTATCGTGACACGTTATAAGATTCTTCAAGAACTGTAATGTTTCATTACGATTATGAATATATATTTCTATGACTTAAAATGTGCTTAACTAGCACGTAAATATTACCTCAAACACGACAGGTTTTAAGTTTTCCGTCGTAAGTTGATTATGACTCAGATCTAACTCGGTAAGATTGATTATCTCCTTAAAGGCTCGAGGATCGATTCTCATGATTTCGTTCTTCTGCAGCGACAGTTTCCTAATTTCTATTTTTGGGAATGGTTTCACGTGAACCAATAAATTCCCTTTGAACGACGCTATTTTTATTGTTTTATTGGACCATTGTTCGCCCTCGAAGTGGTGGGTCAAATTTCTGTTTCCACAATCTATGATATCATCTGATAGGAAAACATTAATTCGTTTATAAATTTCTATTTCTCACGTTCGAATATTTCTATATTCGTTTCTATCTTTCCTTGAACATTTCTTGAATATTTATAAAATATTGATTCTACTGTCGGTCTGTCATTTGAAACTTAGTAGATCTACCGGTTTAAATTTTTAAAAGGCTTATATCTTTGGATTTAACTGGTCTTAGTATTATACATCGTGCAATGGTAAAATACTGCTTTCTATTCAAATAGCTTCGAAATTAGAAAATTAAGAAAAATAAACTTAATACGTTATATAATGACCAGCGTACACGGTGTTTTAGTTTATTAAGGACTAATTAAGGATTAATTATCGTATTCGTTCATTATCAAATTCTCTTTTTAACGCTGTTACTAGACAAAGGAAATTCCAAGAATTCACTTAACATTTTTTTCGCCAGATTTCGTTATTTTTGCCAGAAGATGTAGATTTTGCAGAATCGTAGATTCTACAATTTTACGAAACTTAAAGACATGTAATTACTTGTAACATTACGATAAACTGTTGCTTGGTCCTTAATAGACTAATAGACAGAACTTTGCACTTGGTTGATTTGAAATTACCTATACAATTGCATACTGTGCACAAATGTGGAGGTTTCGGCTCAAATATTTCCTCCTTCAGATTGGTAGTTTCAACGTCCACAGTTGCATTCGTATTGTTTGCATTTGCATTATTGGCAACGTTTTGGCACTCAACGGTCGCAAAGGTGAAAATAAAAATAACGAAAAATCGGTAATTCATGATTTCTTGCGAGATCACTACCGGTAGAACCTCACAGTGAGAACTGAAATCAGTTTTTCTGTATCGAGCCGAGTGCCTCTGATAACAAAACCGGTGATAAGATACCGTTGATCACCGTTACTCATCGTTCCAACCGGGTAAATCCTTTTAATTCGCTTTCACAGTTTGTTTTTATTGAAAGCCACCATTCGCGTATATTGACGTCTTGATTCCTTCCTTGAAAATAATCGAATTTATAATTCATTTCGTCGATGTGGAATAAAATATTGCAAATATTTGATACTATTATTTCGTCAATCCGCGCAAAGACGATCGAATTAAAAATTTGACATGATTATAACTATGTAAATTTACAGATTGTGAACGTGAATTTATATATTACAATATGAAAACTACAGGAAATAAATATGGTAAATCCACTTTCGACATAATCGAGAAGAAGAAAATAATCAGTTTAATCTAAGGGTATATAACCGGTTTAAAAATAGATAATACATCTACAGAAACGTATGTTTAATCTCAAAATTAAATAGTCAGGCAGAATTAGAAATACGAGTGTGGATGACAGTTTATGGAATTTTTAAATTACTCAATCACAAAACATAAAGCTGCAACTTATTGTATTTTTTCTCTGTGGTCTTCATATATAAATATGTATATTTATGCCATAATTATATTATAATGTTTGAATCTGTTACATCCAAAGAAACAAGCCTTTTAAAAATAGCTTATAAGTTGACGATTTTTCGTAATAACCAGAGCTACAATCAATGAAACAAGCAATATTTCGTTTGAAATATATACAATTTTTTTTCATGAAATTTAAAAATCGCGCTCCAATTTGAGCGACACTTGAATGAACCGATAATCGCGTTCGTGTTGCCATCTGGTGTGTATCCGTGATATTAATGAAGAAGAGAAACCTTCGCGAAAAGTATTGAATCGATGACGTCACAAAAGACGTGTCAGTGGAAGGAGTAGACAGGGATTGTAGAGAAGCATGTTGAAAAATGTCCGATTACTTTAATTTATCGTACAGCGTGAATAGTGGTAAACAGAGGGGTTCGTGTTGTCGCGCGTGTGTACGTTAGACCGGTGTCGTTACATGATTATCATTGAGCCTCGAGGTATCACGTGGACTAAGACGAAGTCAGTTTCGAACTAGTCAGACACGCCGTCGTACCGAAATATCATCGAAAAATAAAACTGGTGTGGACGGTGTGGTTTTGTTCTCATGGGACTTTTTGGATGCTGGCTTTTGCGATACGGTAAGTAACCATAGGATAAATGATCTTTCGATTAGTGTCATCCAAACAGCTGTTTCGATACATCGTTCGATTCAGCGTAAATTCCCGCTGGGCCGTGCACCTGTGAATTTGTGAGGTTAGGTCTCATTTATTCGTTCCTGGTGCGCCGATACACGCGAAAAACTTGTTTTGTGCGCAATGCCCCCAGTGAACGCCCATTCCTCGCGGTCTGCCTTGACAGAATTGCGGATTGATACGATCGATATTGTTAAGGCTCTTCCAAACACCAACTTTTTCCAATGACATTGTGCCTGCCATGCGACCGATCCTCCATATCAACTGCCTCTCAATTGATGTTCATTATCTAACCCGTTACAAACATTTCTTCTTTCTTTCTGTTTCCTATTATTTTAAATTAACAATACAATATTTAATACATATATTTACACGATGAAATTGTATTGCATTATCTAAACAGGAATCTCAATAACTTGTAATCAATTAATTTCATAGAAAACTAATTTCAATAGTTACAGAGTAACAATGATTCTTATGATAACTTACAATATTGAATATTTTTCTGTTTATGTAATACATTACGCTCTCATACCTTAAAAAAATTTAGTCAATTATCGTAAGATCGTTTATTGGTATTGTCAATATCACCAAGTGCAAGATAACTGGCGGGAAGTTTAATCGAAGGATATTTTGTTACGAGTATTATAACAAATTTATCTTACGATATTGTTTAATTGATATATTTTAATAATAATTACGGCGATATTTTTAAATAGATTTTTAATTCAATAACTTATTGGTTCGTTTTATATAAATATATATAATACCTCACATATAATACATGTTATTGTACATCGTATAGATATTTATAAAAATCGGATCAACTATTAATTACTGAATTAAATTAAAAATCTACTTGAGAAAATCAATGTAATTATTATTCAAATATATCAATTAAAGATATCGCATGATTTTTTCATGATGAAACTATGTCAGAGAAAATTAAAATAGTCAAATAAACTGAGAAGTGGATTCCGATTAATAGGAATAGTCACTGTATTCACCTTGGTATCGGTAATCACGCTCTCTTGTATAGTCGAGCTACATATTTATGTTTCCATCTAGAACAGAATAATGCGACCTAAACGAATTACGTCAAAAGATAAACGGGGAGCTTCAGAACGCAAACGTGTATTCTCGATGAAACGAGAAAATCGCTGTTTACATCGTATCAAGAGAACCGGTTGAAATCGTTCAAAGAATTTGTTGTGAAAAAAAAGAGTGACAAAGATGCTGCAATGAGGTATCATTATAGTGTGTGCTATATATATTCGATGAATCAAATTATTGTACAGTCGATTGATACGATGAATTTTTTTATTTAAACCTGTACTTACAAAGCGAAATAAATTGATAAAATTTTTATAAAAGAATTAACCTGGAGGAAACGATCTACAATTTGATAAATTATATAATAACGTATTCCCATAAAAAAGTGTCTAGTGATTTTTTTTTTGTAACCAAAAAAAAATTTAATTATGATTTAATGTGAAAGAAATAAAAATTGCCCAACGGAATAATTTCTTCTCCGTAGCAATCGGGAAAATTATGGGAATAAAGTCAAACGTTTATTATTATCTTACAGGAATTATTATGAAATCTGAAAATAATATCGATGAATTCAAATTTTTTCCACGAACACACGTAAGCCCTTGTTTATCTCGAATTTTGATCTCGAAATGTGTAGTTGTGAATAAAAAGAAGGAAATACCTGAAAGCTATTATGCAGGCAATTTCCTTACGTAAACTAACATTTGCAACAAGTTAAAGCAGGTACCAAAGAATTTATTAAATATCAGAAGTAGTTATAAAATATTATCCATCTATGTATATCATTTCCAGCTTGTTCATTTTTTTTTAAATAATCAGATTATACAGATTTCCGATATCTCATATGAATTTTAGTTACTAATTTTACTACACTAATTTTACTTTTTAAAAAACAAGTTGCATTTCTTTCAAATAAAAGAAACATCTCCATCATTCAAAAAAATTAATTTCTTTTATATTTCCTGCACTGCGTATCTTCTCTCGGCTCGAAATTTTGATATTATTTGCATTAATTTCTTTATTCTTACGAGTTGTATTGTATTCAATAAAATGAATCGTTTTTCAGTTAGTAAATTAACGAGATTTAGTAAGAAAATTATTACAGGCTGCTCGTACAACCTTTAATCTTCTTTATCTAAATTCGAATATTGATTCAACTTTTACACTACAAAATCAATACAATTTTTTAACAACGAAGTCTAACGTTATAATAATATGATAACTTCGTGATAACAAGATAAAGTAACTAGAATTAGGAGTAATTATGCAATTTAGTGACTTTTTCCAGGCTAGACTATTTATATCCAATCTCTTTTGCTCGAAAAGTTCGACTCTAAAGAGGTTAGGTTGCGCATAAATATTCTAAGAGTAGTAAGGAATTTTAGTTGAGTAACATTTTTATATAAATTACAGGATGAATTATAGAATACACGGGACGAAAGAAGTAACGGAAGGAACTCGAATTTCCCGCAGAAATTTTATCGAGCACCCTATAGGTAGAGCGCTGCGCAGCAGTGAAGCATCGGCGCCGTCGGCAGCGGTGGCCTCTTGTAGTTTTTGCTACGCCCTCTTCGCATGAAAATGATTCTTCCCCGGCGTGCTGTAGTAGGGATCGTCGACCATTGGTTATCGAACGTTTGACTGACAGTTCGACTATCTCGTGTTAGGCTCGCGATGAAAGGGAGAAAGAAAAACGACTTCTGGCTTCGTATTAACGCCCACCGCTGATTCCAAAGCCGTTCTTTAACTCACGTCTCTTTCTACCGCGGTGTTGTTGCCCGTCACGACGCCGGTTTTAATACGCCGATGACTGACAGGTAGTAAACAAGTCCGCTTGCCCACGGGATACCATCTTTGTCATAATTAACCCTTTCGGTGCCAGACCGGTATGTGTGCGCGTTTAAACGTGTTTCTTCTAACGAGAATTTACTCCCGCTTTCTGATGTCTCCATGTTATAATGTAATATATTGTAGAAAAATAAGAATATATTATAATAATATAATAAAAACACAATGTCGAAAAAGAAATTATATATTAATGTATTTGTGAATAAGTTTTAGACAAAATATAATATTCAGTGTTGAATTTAATAACAAACACGATTTTGTTTGAGGAATTCAACTTAAAATACGGGATGTCTTTAATATATTGTTATTTTCTGAATGATAATGTTTCGGAATTTTAATGTACGGTTTAACGATGTTCATAGATGTATGATAATAAAGTAGCAAATTGAGATGTTGAAAGTGGGAAACCATAGAATAAATTCGTACAAATATTTGACCGCAGATATGTACTTAGCGGAATTTAAGTACTCTCTTACGTTCGAAAATGATCACTGTGTCCTAACCGACTGCTATAGCTCTGGCACTTAAAGGGTTAAAGATTCGTTTCTCCTCTTATTTACGCTCGTAAAGACACGTTTCATTGCTTCTCTGTCATTACTTTGTCTTATAAGAATGAGATGTTGCTTTAAAATACTTCAACGTGTTTTCTACTAAATTTCTTTTATGTTATTTTGTAATCTTAACTAATTGCGTTCAGTTATTTAAATCATAGTTTGGCACATTTATAAAGCGTGTTTTTTTTTTTGTTTACGAAAATATTAAACAAAGAAAGAATGTAATAAATTTAAAAAATGATTGCTGATTTTATTGTGCAGTTTTAATAAGAATAATTTAATCAATTCTTTCAACAAATTAACACGTCAGTTTCACGGCTCTTCTCCAGGTTAAGTTATTGCCTTTTACACTTTGATTACTTCTAATTGCACGTTCCTTGAAACTCCAGTGTCGCAGTAATTATTAGGTCGTTACAAAAAATCAACACGTTGGACAAGTTGTGTGGCAAATCGCGTGATCAAAGTGCATGTACGCCATTACATAGTTTCCGCCAATCCATTTCATTTGAATTAATAGCCGTCTCATTTTCGGCACTGTTCATAACACGTGGCTGCCACTATGTTTTAAATTCTTAATCTTTGACCAAACGAAATTTTTACACTTGTTTTTTTTGTTTTCTGTTTTTCTATTTCTTTTTCAGTTATTCATTTGCTCGCACATGTATCATGTATATTTTATTACACAACATGATGTATATTTTATTATAACGTATTTCATATTAATACCTGTTAACTAGATGTTATCTTAGTTTTAAGTAGAAGACTACATTTTTATGTTTCATTGTTTTTCGTTCTAGGTAGCATTTCAGTAATTTACAATAATAGATACGACACTGCTTTGTATATGAAATTGTTCAATTTTTGAGACTTTTAAAAGAAAGAGTTGTTACGCTTAAAACAACTGATCTTCAAAATATTATTTTTAACAAATAATATTTCTCTCGTATATATAAAATAGGAAAAATTGGAAATATTAAAATCGATTGAGTTAATTCATAAACGGAATAAAAACAAATATAATCGAATATCAATAATTAAACTAAGTGGAAATAACTATAAAATATTTTGGGTCGCTTGATATCGTAAAATAATTCCATAAATATCAACACGACTGCTTGAATACTAAAAATCGAGAGTATCTGGATCACGAGATTTCGATGGACATTACAGATTATTATTTGAAGTATACTTTTCATTTCCTATCTCTCTCTGCTCATTAGAGCATTACACTTTGTCTGTCTCGCTTCTCTGTAGCAGCTGCTGTCGAATAATATCGAGTACCAAAGAATTTGAAAGCGAGATGCGCAATGTATCGTTTAGAATAAAATAAAATAAAGAAGATAAACGTCACCCCTTCTCACGTTCGCAATGTAACTGCGAAATATGATAAAAGTAAACAATGATAATGGTGGGTTCTTCAATCAAACAGTATCGCGTTGAAAGAAAGAACGAATCAATAACGGAGGAACATCGAGAAAAGAATGAATAAAATGAAAGTTAAGTAACACGGTTTCGTTTGAAATTTTATTTACTTTTAATGAAAAATGCAGTTAAATTGTAGAAAATGTTGATGTCGTTGTGAACGCGCCATAAAACGGAATGGGAGAACTTCCTTACCGATAGTTTATTGCTGTATTACCCGAGGTTGAAATTAGAATAATGGTTCCTAGAGAAGAATATAGATGAAGTTTGAAAAGATGAACACATAGGAGAACATTTTTTTCATTATTCGTGAAAATTATAAAGAAACAAAAATCGTCGATAAGACACTAGATCATTGAATTATACGTTTCATTATATTTCAATATTTTTTCTTTAGAGAAGTTACCTTCTAGTATAAAGAGCAAGTCCAGGTCAACTATCTGTTACCTACCATAAAATGATTTTGGAAATGAATATCATATTGTCACTTTTCTCGACAAAGGTGAACTATATTCATGAAAAATGCATGGTTTGGTCCATTCTTCACGAACAGACGTACAAATCTTTTTATTGTATAGAAAACAAACTTATACACATAAACTACCTCTATAAAGAAGAGAATATTATGAAACAGCGGACGTAGATTTCCACGGAGAGATAATTCGACGTTTGACCTAAACGAATGAAATGGCAAAAAGAACGTACGAAATTGTAAAAGAAGGTAAAGAAAAAAGAGGAAGTTGAAACACGTTAAGACCGTTTCGATGTGTGGCTGCAGTCGTAGAAATGAAGCACACTGACCGTTCACCGTCAGCGATAATATTTTTAAATGAAAGCGGCGAGAGAGGCGACTGGCACAATAAATATCGGGTTTAACGGAAAGACGCGAGTGTGTTGGAAGCACCACTTGCAAGTAATGGTTACCTCTGTCCACCTCCTTTTTTTACCGCTTCCCTAGTTCAGCTACCACCTCGCGGCATTCCCTTTAATGTATCTAACTCTTCTTCTCATATACCGATACTTTCTCTCGCTTACTCATTCTCTGCGACTATTCCGTCACGACGAAGTTTTGATAAAATGTCAGGAGAACGGCTATTCCCATTATTCGAAGAAGAATAAGATTCCATTGTGTATTCGTCCTTTATACACATACTCTAATCTTTCTTACTTTTAGATTTAAAAGTCGTATTATAGTTTGCGGATTTTTATAAAATGGATTATGTATTATATATCTAGGACTGAAGGATACATGGAAAATGCAACTTATACAAAATTATATTTTTTCATGAGAAAAGAAATGTCAATTTTCTTCTAGATAGAGATTTTAAAAACAATCTTAAGGTCAGCTTCTTCTTTATTTTTCTCTGTTTTCACACCTTATTACAAAGCCATATTTCGAAAGTCACAAGTAGAAATAAAAATGATTGTAAAATAGATAATAACAATTATCAAATATTAAATATTCTTAAGTGGTCGTGCGCAAAAATAAAAAGCACTACAGTTTAAAAGGTGAAAACAATGTAATTAGCATGAGTCGTTGGCAAAAAAATTATTGGTTTAATGACACTACTACTTAGCTAACGAAGGTATTTTTCACAGACAGTTATAGCTATCAGTCGTAACCACGATTTTTCGGGTGTCGTCGTCTTGTCAGCCAGTCGTGTGTCGCAGTACTTTATTTATTCATACCGAGGGAACGTGTATGGGGATTGGGGAAAATTCAAAAGGAACGTTCGGAATGGGAAGCAGAACTGGTGCCAGCAACAGTGCTGATGGTGTTGAGACCGTCTAACGATGACATTTAAATGCAGTGCCGCGCATCGTTTGGTTCTTCGTGCCACGACGATTCTCTCTCCTTCCCCGACCCCTTCTTTTTCCTCTCGTCTCATCTCTACCCCTGGTTCATCTCTACTCGAAATACGCCGGGATATCTTGCTTAAAGTATACGATATTTTTTATCCTATTATTTTTTCAACCGTTACCCATTCCATTCTCACTTATTTTACTCTCAATTTACAAATACACAATACTCGCATTAATCATTATATACGATTTATTTTACTTTCAGATCACAAGTACGCAATAGTTATATCAATCGACATGTAAATACCATTCGTTATATTTGTATTTTACTGTTAATATGTAAGTTTCATTTATTACACTTATTTTACCTCCAAGTGACAAGTATGCAATTATAATCAATACATTAGCCAGTGGTGACACTCATTGCATTGTCGAGTAACCGATTATTAACCCATGTGTATTAGAATTATCACGAATATCAATAGATTGGATATTTCTTTTGTTGTAGGATAAACGTGTAAATTATTGGAAGACTGAAGATAGATCGAGGAATATTTGCATATCAGAGGCCCCGGAGGACCTGGGCAACGATGGAAGCTGCCAGACAGGAATGATAGGTAACAAAAATTCTAAAGAATGAAAATTTAATTGATGGCCAACGGTGGAAGTACCAAAAGTAAGCAAGCATCAAAATAATAGATTTTATATTTGTCGACTTTGCAATTACTCCGTAAAATTGATGTCGACTCTTGTTGAGATATATGTTGTTAAGATACGAGTATCTATTAAAATTTATTTAATTCTAATCGTATCCACTGCTAGCAATAAGTATCATATTAGGATACCTGCTACTTGCATTCGATCGGAAAACTGTAAGAAATATTTTAGTTTACTTATTATTTTATAATACATTAGAAGACACGTCATATAACGTAATGAAACGATGAGATAATTATAAAATAAAAATAAAACTGGAAGAAAAAGATGTTTGAATATTTATGGCCAACAGTGTCGATGCAGTATTATAAATAAACTGCAGATGTCTATACAAATTGCAATTTTTGTGCACGTAACTAAAAGAGAATGGAACCTATAAAAACTCACTTCATTCGCTAAAAATTGTAACCAAAAGTAGATCGATTATTTTATATGTTTTGATATTACGTTTCATTCTTACGATACACATATCTCTGTACCTACGTATCTCTCATAAATGCATAAACATCCGCTGTTTAGTTTTTATCCGCCACTTTTATTGATTAGGCCTTTAAAAATAAGAAAAGAAAACAAATAATAATTTAATGATATGAACGTAGAATGCAAGAGGGTAGCACCGCCGTGGCGCTAGCGATGGTGACTCCTGGCTACGATCAGGACCCTGCAAGTGGGGTTGCCGATTACACGACTCATCAAGATCAAGCTCAGTTCGAGGCAGACAAGAGGGCAGTCTATAAACATCCCCTCTTCCCGTTGCTCGCGTTACTCTTCGAAAGATGCGAACAAGCTACACAGAGTTCGGACAACTCGACGTCCGAAAGCTTCAACATGGACATACAGGCCTTCGTCCAACACCAAGAAAGAGACCGAAAGCCTTTCCTAATCAATGACCCCGAAATTGACGGTTTGGTAAGTTTCTTTATAGTCCAGGTATAACATTAGAAGTATAACATCTTCTGGAATCCCTCAAGACTAATTTACACTCGTAATAGCTTGAGTCAAAGAATTTATAATTTTAGAATATTTCTTAATCTATATACACATTTTGCTGTTGACCATTAATGATATTTATTAAAATTAAATATTCAGTTAATTAATTTTGCAGTTAATGGTGGAACGTACGACAGGATTTAAGAAAAAATTAAGTTGATTCTAATATTAAACTAATGTAAATTAATGTAGCCATCTCCGCGCTATAGTAAATGATATGTACATAAGTGTATTTGTGGAAAATATTCAAGGTAGAAATACAAGGTTATAATATTTAGTAGATGAAGCAGGTTTATGCTTGATGTATGTTTATGAAAATATAAATTTACACAAACCCATAACTCGTTAGAACATACAGAACTGCGCTGCAATTTATGCATTTTAAAAAATATGACATTCTTATCTATTTTTATAAAAAGTACACAGTCCAAAAATGTTCGTAATTCCTTCACATACAAAACAAGACACGCATTGGATTGAATAATAAGTTCAACACGGTGTATACTATTTCGATAAATTAAGATAAAGAAGATTAAGATTAAGATTAAGAAATAAGATAAATAGATTGCTTCTTAACTAGACAGATTTTTTATGAAACTAGTTCAAAATTCATGTTTCTTTCTTTCTCCTCCTTTTTCTTAAGAAAACGTGAATGAATTTATTACTCCACCTCGTGTTTATTAAAAAAAAAAAAAACAAAAAAGAAAGGGAAACAAAGAAAAAAGGAGAGACAGGAAAAAACAAAGAAACAAATAATAAGTGACGCGGTGCAACTCGATAATGAAAAGAAAATCGTTTAATCGTTGACGTTGTTTTTGTGTCTCTGCCAACGCAGATGATCAAAGCGATACAGGTGCTGCGAATTCACCTACTCGAGTTGGAAAAAGTGCAGGAGCTGTGCAAGGACTTTTGCAACAGGTACATCACGTGCCTGAAGGGCAAGATGCAGAGCGAGAATCTGCTACGCAGCGATTACAGTCACCATGGACACGATATGGGTCCATCGAGTGGCAGCAACGGAAGCAGTCCTTTGCAGGTTAGATATTATTTTGAACGTTTAATAAGGCGGCCTGGCCTGTTTCCCCCTTTACCTAAGTAGTTATCCTTTTTTTTTAGTGATGCGCAAGAATCGCGACTATAATCTTGAAAAACGCTCCAACGCTGCTACGTGTGTCTCTGTCTCTTCTTTCTTCCTACTCTCTATGTCTTAACTCTTCGAACCTAAAAGAACAGAAATTTAAAACTAGAGAACTTCTGCGCCTTCTCTTTATTAACATCGCTAACATGTCTCGTATAGAAGTCAGTGTACTTTTAAAATAACTTCGTTGGGAAGTTTGTACGTCGAAATGCGAAGTAAGAGGAAAAATGCCTCTTTGTGGGATATCTCGAAATGTCGATCGATTGACTAACTCTCGTGAGTACTCTGACCTAAATGTAGCGGTTACTGATAGCTAAATAAGCTATTGATCGAGCAACATTTTTCTAAGGGAGTTAAATAAAGTTTCGTTGGTAAATAGGCAGTAATTGGAGGGAAATATTTACTCTATTATATACGAGATACGTACCGGTTGATTTAGTAGTATTGTTATTGTACAGAATACATTCAATAGTTAGTAAATCGTAAACAAAAATTAGTAAATTGTTCAATGCATATGTAAGAGGTCAAACGTGGATCAAATGCTTTCTAATTCTTTACTATCTCTCTTTAATCGTGTTTTATCTGGTAATTAACATTCCAAAATTAACAGCACCTTGTAAATTCTTCAAACTCTAACAGTTGATCTGAACGATCTCGCTGAATATTCAGTTTAGGATCCTTCTCATAACAGATTAAACGATATACTATTTAGATTAGTCAAAAGTCAAAATTATTCTAACAGTAGATTTAACACTCTAATCAACCAGTCGATTACTTAATTCAAAGCATACGTTATTTAAAGAAAAAAAGAGAAAGGAAAGGATGAGCGATACTTGCGCGTCGCTCAAAATATTATAGAACCCCACCCCTGCTCTCTGACGGCTAGTTGCGACATATATTTCCCAGGTGCTGTCTTCTACAGGCAATGATGTTGAGTCGGGAGCTAACGGATTCAGAGTGAGCAGAGGCGACACCCTGTCGGAGAACGGTGGTGCGAGTCAGTTGGCTGCGCAAGAGGAAACCGGTAACGACAGGCCGTCGTCGGTGCGATCATCTTCCACTGCTCAGCGCTCGATCAGATCCTCCAGCCAGGACCATGACGATCCACTGTCACCTTCCACGGTACACGGGAGCACACCGCTCTCACAAATTGGGGCTCATTCCTGTGCACCAGTCAACGATATCTATCTTGGTCAAGGTAAACGTATTTGTTTATATTAATTCATTTTACATAGCAAACGGGTAACGATGATTCTAGCTAAATGGCTTCTACTTTTCGTTTCATAATTTTTTTTCTCCTTTCTTCAGTGTTTAAAATTGAAGAGTTTGCAACAATGAGGAAATAGTTACAATACTTAAATTGTATCGATTGGAAGAGAAAAGAAAGGTATAGGTTTTATATTCAAAATTCTATTAGATCTGGTACACATGAAATGATATATCGTTTCTTTGAAATATTGAAATGATTGCTCTATCATACATATTAAGGAGATCCATAATAAAATTTTGTTGGTTTACACAAATTACTAGAAAATGAAGCCGCTTCCTTATTGCAGCAACCTCTTCAGTTATATTTGATTGTTGATTAATCAGGTGAAAACAAAATAAAGTGTAAAATTCTATGCATTTGAGTCTTTTATTTGCAATTTTTGTTTACATTGAATTTCACAGAGCACATTGATGATTACAGTATAGAATATTCAACAATTAATTGTGTCTTAGCTTGAAACTTGAATATTTTTGTGATTATCACGTCATAAAAATTGAGCTTTCATAAAGATTAAAATATTGATTTAAACGTAAGCATTGTCAACTTACGTTTATAGATGATATGGACTGTGTGAATATTGGCGACAGAATATATTTAGAAGAGGTTGGTTATTGGGGCCTCCTTGCCTTGCAAGAGCGTGAAAATGAATACGTCGATGTCGGGGATGCGAATGACGAAAAGTATTTTGGTTAGACGAACTTGGTTCTTTCTTACCAATGACTAATGTTTTTTTTCACTTGAATATTAATTACTAATTAAACATGTGAATATAAACTAACTAAATTAGAATAAATAAATATTATCAATTCTGCATGGAGCTGCAGTTAATCGGTCACAACAAATATATCGTGTTTATTATGCCCAGATATTACTGTGGCTGGCTCTCCTTCACCTGCACCAAGTGAAGACGAAGACGAAGGATGTGGCACTGGTACTGCTACTTCCAATCACAGTAGTAGTGGTCATGGAGGTAATCATAGCAGCGTTAAGAAAGGAAGACAAAAGCGAGGCGTCTTACCTAAACAAGCTACAAGCATTATGCGAACTTGGCTCTTTGAACATTTAGTTGTGAGTATAATCTCCTGTAATATAATATAAAATTCAATCCAGTGATCATTATTTTATACTTCAGTTTACGACTTTGTTATATAGGATCACGAAAGTATTTACCACGGAAAATTTTTACGAATATATTGCATAGTTGTAATTCTTGTAAATTCTATTGGCACTGTAACGAGACACGAGTATAGAATAAAGTAAATAAATGATAATTATCGTTATCAATTATTTTTTAGCATCCATACCCCACGGAGGATGAGAAGCGTCAAATAGCGGGTCAAACGAACTTAACGTTGCTACAAGTCAATAATTGGTTCATCAATGCTCGTCGAAGAATCCTTCAGCCAATGCTCGACGGTGCCGGAGCGGATTCGATACAGCGAGCCGGGAAACGTCACAAGGTATCGAAACACGTGGTGCAACATCAACAGGTGCAGCAGCAACAAGGCGGCGGCTGGCAATCTGAAGATTCTGGAAGTGACTCCGGCTCCAGCGACGGTGAGGGAGGTGCCGATAGATCGAAAGATGGTAACGATAGCGACGAAGATGATCTTCACTGACCTCTGTCGATCATTAAAACATCAACCTCTTTACGGTACCTTCAAATCCAGTTGCTCATTACAGTATTAAGGTATTCGAGAATAGATTTCGCTTTAACTGTCAAATACGTAATTATTCTCGCGAAAATCAAGGGTATTATTGGTCGAGGTTATCACGCTCTCTTATCGGATCCGACAGTTTCAATCTCTTTTACTATCCATGGAGTATCTTAGCGTTTTTAAACGTCGTTATTCGTTAACTACGATCCGAGAAAGATTGAACAAGAAATCCTGTATAATTCGAAACATGTTCTTTCGATAGATCGAAAGATGGTAACGATAGCGACGAAGATGATCTTCACTGACCTCTGTCGATCATTAAAACATCAACCTCTTTACGGTACCTTCAAATCCAGTTGCTCATTACAGTATTAAGGTATTCGAGAATAGATTTCGCTTTAACTGTCAAATACGTAATTATTCTCGCGAAAATCAAGGGTATTATTGGTCGAGGTTATCACGCTCTCTTATCGGATCCGACAGTTTCAATCTCTTTTACTATCCATGGAGTATCTTAGCGTTTTTAAACGTCGTTATTCGTTAACTACGATCCGAGAAAGATTGAACAAGAAATCCTGTATAATTCGAAACATGTTCTTTCCCTTTTTTTTTTTTTTTTTTTTTTTTTTTTTTTTTATACATTGTCTGTAAGAATAATTCGATCATGATAAGAAAGAGTTTTAGGATTGTTATATTTTTTAATCAGTTTCCTTGATTCGTTGATAAACAAGTTACATTGAAGCAACTTTTTTTCTCCTGAATAATTCGTTCTTGCTGTTGTTTCTTCTTGATGACTCTTGATGAATCTTAATGATTATTAATTTATGTGTAATGGTTCAAGGCGACAAACGAAGATGGTATAAAAAAGTCATCACTTGTATCACTTACTGAACAATAGACAGTGTTTTCCAAGATGTTTATCAATCGAGTTGTTTAGCTGATTAGTTAAGAAGTAGTTCAAATCAACTGATTTGTAGAAGCAAATTATTTTTCGAAAGAAGACTTGAAATGTTCGTGAACAATATTCACACTGTGAAAGATCTTTATGGAGACGAGTATGTTTGCGTGTAACATGTACATTTTTTCTATGATATAAACTACGAACAAAGAGTTTACTCGTTTAACAAAACGATTAGAAACAAGTTAAATCTAAGGTGACAACAACACAAAAGTTAGCGTTACTGTTTATATATTTTTATATCGAAACTTTATTTCCTTCAAGATACGTTTTTCCCAGGCTTCGCAGCGATATGACACGTCTTTCAATGTTTAACAACAAAACAATAAAAAAAAAATAAGATCAGTACGTGCTTAAAGATCATAATTTCTGTAGAAAGTTAGCGATCTTTATATCACTTTATTTTCAAACTGTTCTGAAATACTATTAAACTTACAGATACATTTATCCAATGAACTCTGGGTGGAATAAAAAATTAAATACTAATGACATTTAAAGTAAAGGAAAAAAAAGCAAAGATAAACGTTTGACTATTTATTGGTTCGACCAGCCTCACACAGTTAACTCGATTCCTGAATAGTTTTGAGAGAATTTAGGGATATTTCTGTAAAGGGGAGACTTAGTACTTTCTATAGTGTTATCGAAAATCGTCCAAATGAGACTATGTATAATATAGATATCTTAAATAACGACACAAATGAACGATCGTTCTCAACCCTTCCTAATTAAAATAAGCTATGACGATATTGTGCTACTACATTTAACATAGGCGAGATATGTTTTTGTGATCGGTCGGCAACCATCGAAATGCTAAAAAGATAAATCTAAATCCCGGGAAAACCCATGCGTAAAAAATGAAGAACTGGATTACAATGAATTAAAAAAGAAGATGATTGTGATGATCGGTCAGTAAAATGGTAACAATCTCGGTCTTGTACTCTTCGTGCCATTAAAGAGCGTGGTAACTTCCGCGTTTAGTCTTTGTTCAGCTCTGCAGTGTCGTGACATAGCGAAGTGCTATCCCTCCAAGATAATAATAATAATAATAATTAATAATTAATAATAATAACAATAATATTATTATTAATAATAATACCATTACGACTAATAATGATAACAACAACAATGATAATATAATACTACTTTAAATATATGATGATTATATTTTTAAACTCTAAGTGTCGTCTTTAAAAGAAGAAAAAACAAAAAGAAAAAAAACACGTGTACCGCAGTTTGAACAAATGTGGTAATGCTGTACATATACAATATACAAGAACTATTAGAAATAAAGGAGAAGAACGTTTAATGTGATTTCTCTTCAAACAGAAATCAAGAGAAAACAGGAAAAATTGAAGAAAAATATGATTAACAATACATTTTCTTGTAACTGAAAAAATACAACAGAGAAAAAAAGTCTAAGGCTCGACGACAAGCACATGCCATCTTAGGATTATAAGTGTTCATACATTCGCTGTCTGCATATGATCGGTTGCGTTTTACTGAAAGTGTCCTCCAGATTGCGCGTGCTGAATAGTTAGCGACATGTAAAATGTTTTACTTGAAAGAATCAGAGAAAATTGAACGGAAAACGAGTTTCAAGATTTTTATCACTTAATCGACGTTGTTTTAAGTTCGATGACGATTAATCATGTACATACATACGATGCTCTTCCTGCGTACTTGTCTTCGATTGTTCTTCAATTATTTCCAAGCGTTCCGTCCATCGCATTTTCAACACTGTTGAGATCCTCGACTGCCTTCGAAACGCTATTCTAAAAGAACAAGCATTTTTTAAACAATCATTCAAATGTAGAAGTGTAATCGCATCTAAAAACGCAACTTACTATTAGCAATAATTTTCATATTTCTTTTACGATTTTCTCTACTCTTTTAATGCCTGCAATGAAGACTATTTTTCTGTATTCAATCATCCCTTATCGATCCGTAAAATATGTTAAGGTGATATTGGGGAGCGTTATCGAGTTCCACCGGATAATAGGAGAATGAGAATGAAATAATGATTCGTTTGAAATGAATTTCATAAAATTTCTTAATAAGCTATGTTGGTGTCAGTGATTCCTAATATACAGCACTCTCTTAATTTCTGTGCGAGGTAATAATAATATTATAATCTGTAAACAAGTATATGACTAAGAAACGAACGCTAGTCCACTGATTAAAACGCATAGAGGATAGCCCGCATAAGTAGTCGATTTTTGGTCATTTTTTGATCATTGATCGCTTCCTAAAAGGACAAGATGAAACGATAAAGTTAGGTTATAGATGTGCAAAGATAAGAAAAGAACAAATAATAGTTATTAATGTAAACTATGCGGTCGATTCTCAATGTACTCAGAGGAGCGAAAAGTTAAAAATTATTGATTAGGTCTATTGATATTTACTTTGCTATTAATTGGTATTATACTTTTCTTCCGGTATATAATCGATGTACATAGCCGAAACAGGCACAAAGTGCTTCCATTAGTGGCTTACGAGCTTTTTCCGAGCATTGTTCGAGACAAACTGATTTCTATTCCAATAGTTGGCCAGTGTCTTATCCGGCTGCTCGAAACTGTTAAACATGTTCTAAGGGAAAGAAGCAAGTTAATCGAGGCTTAGTAAAACGATATCATCAGTTGAAGACAGCTTTTATTACAGTATAGCTCCATATACGGTGTAGTGATGTAAGTGAAACAAAAATAAATGGGGCGAACGATTGTGGACAATGGTTGCGAAAAAAAAAAGAAAATCAACGAAAAAAACGCTGATTCGATTATATGACGAACTATATATTATTTAATAGCATTTTTCTACTTTGCTTTTATCTCTAACTGGATCAGCGATTAATAAATATGGTCTACGATCGTTCGTACCAGTTAGTTCGTCTGTGTTTATAAGTACCAGCAATAAATGCGCACTCTCCCTAAGAAAATAGAACTAAGAATCGTCAGCTCGTATCGCGTCAAATCACCTGATACGGGACTATACTGTACACTCTCGACTAAGTATAATTATAAAGTAATGGTAGATTAAGAGGTAGGTTGTAAGGCTGAACCACGTATACGTATGTGCTGCGGCACCAGACGACTGTGATAACTCGGTGGGCGGTGCCCAGCCTCCTACTTCATACTTGTATACTGAAAATTATGGAATACTTCAAAGACACACACATACAAACACACCATACATATACACAAGATAAAAAAATCAGAGACTAAATACACAAGTAGGAACATTTACCAGAAAGGATTGAATGTATATGTTAGAGCTTGCATTGAGAGAACTTAGTGCTTGGTCCGTAGGCTTGCTTGGATTGTTCTTTTTGCCCTTTATAAGTTTTTGCTTGTGATCAGTGGTTCCTATTGAGAGTGCTTGTTTTAAAAGTAACTTGGACGTATTTAAAAACCAACGAGTTGTTTGAATTGAATATTTCATATATTTTGTAAATAGAATAATTGATAGTAGATATACATTTATTATAATTATACTATACAAACATACACATACTATAATTGTTTACATTAAAATATAAATAGGGATATAGAAATTCAAAACGTATGAACATTTTCATCCTTCCAGGTGCATGAGGACGGACTTCCAAGTAAATCTCTAATGTTGCATTAGTGATTGAAGTGCAAGCTCTAAAATATTTGAGAAGATAGGAATGGACCGAAAAGTGTGATGATAATAAGAGTTTTTTTGGTACAAGATTAAGTTTCATGTTTTGACTGCCTGAGTTCGTTGAATTATTTGTTTATCTTCCATGGACTTTTATAACTAACATACTAAAGATAATGTATATTTCACATGTTACATTTCTCATCTTGTTTTACAATATTTTGTACTGTTATTCCGTTAATATCTGATATCGTCAGGGAACACCCTAGGATAAAGTACTTCTTTTAAACTTTTTATGTTGTATACGTGCATTGATTTATATTGTTCTACTATAAATGTGATACGAAAAAAATAGGACAACTCAAATTTTAGGCTACCCGCTTTCCTAACATTATCCTTGTTGTAATTTCGTATTCTCTATTTTTTTTTTAATTTCGTTATATTTTGTTACTCCTTAAATAATAATGAACTATACAAATATTTGTAAGAAATATGTTTTAGTTCATGTATTTTATAAATATTCACGAAATCCCTAGAAGAAATATTCTGTACCTTTTTAAAGATATTTAAATGTACATTAACAAATGTTTGTACAATACTGCATGTATATGATAATATTAAACTACAGGACTTTCGTAGGTCCATTCCTAACTTGAAATTTTAAGTCATAAATTAAACGTATTACGTACATACTAAAAAGAAAGCATAAGTAAACAACATGAATACTTCTCTCTCGTGTACATCAAGGTCCTGTTAAATAAGTTGTTTATTAATAATAAACGCCATCACGCTTGCAATACGTGTTTCTGATTTTTATCGTAACCTTAAGATATTGATAATCAGTTTTCCAATAAATAATTATATATCAAATGATATGAAAAATTAACTGACCGATGTAAAAACAAACGTTTCTATAAAAAAGAATGTGTCTTAATAATATAATATTAGAAAAATTTAAGCAAAATTTAAATTTGTAGATTTATCATACAAAGTAATAGTAAGACCATGTAACTTATACATTCAACAAAATACCAATCAAATATACATATATTGCTCATCATGCTCGTATATTTTAAAAATAGTATGGAATTGCAAATAATCACAGTTAATTGTTTACAGTTTAGATTATAATAAAGAATCAAAGAATTTAGTAAACATCTCTCTTATAACGTACTTACATTGTTTTTATAAAATACGTACAAATTGGTGTATATATTTACAAATATCTTTGAGTAGAATTTTCTTATAACAATTCGTTCTAATCTCTGACAAAAGAATCCTCCAATCTTCAATTATGCTTTACATAATTTTGTTGTGTCATTTCCTACATTGAATAATCTAGATTTTATAAATTAGGGAACACTATTAATTAAAAAATAAATATTGCAAATATGCAAAAGACACGTTAAAAACATGAGATAGTGAATATACAACCTTAAATTGTCTTTTAATCAGAAAAAATATTTATTGCAATTGAAAATTTCTCTATTAAATAAATTCTTAAAGTTCTTATCGTAACAATTGGCAAAGAAACTTGATTACATTATGTATATTACATTATTATCGCATTTCGATATTTCGTACAATTGTCTAGTTTTAGGTATCGTGAGCAATAATTGTGTTAAACAAATTAAATATCCTGCACTAACATCGATTCATTACCGATATAGGATAACTATAATAAATAAACAGAGAAATATAAAATTAATTACAAAAATTATTACCTATAAAATCTCGATAAATGTACTGCAAATAATCAACGATTCACTATAATATGAGTCAAATACATGCATGACATTTACAATACTAAATGTTCATGAAAAATGGGCATGAAATTAAATAATAATCGTTTAAAGTATTATATTGATCATACTAGCTGTAAATATTATATGTAATTATGCGTATAAATAAAATACGTGTGTATATATATATGTATATACATATGTATATACATATATATATATATACGTTTCATCATTGCGTACAAAAAAAATCCTAATGAGACCAAAAATTCAATAAACTTTCTAGTGCTAGTGTACCCCGATTATCTCGAGATACAGGAGTAATACTCTCTTATTAATTTTGTTACAGAATTAAAAAAAAATTGCATCGTTTCATTTCATACACATAACGCACATTTATAAAAATGTTTATGGTCGAATGTGTTGTATATGTATAATCATCGGTAATATCAGAGAAAGGGACGTGACAAATTAAGCGGATGCACATCCGTTCTCATTATACTAACAACAGGTGCAAAAGTTTGATTAAATAGCCGTCGAAACATCACGATGATATCGGAATTAAACATCGGTGGCATCATATATTTCAACATTGAGGTATAAAAATTGTCCGAGAGCGTACCACACATACATTCAAAGGCTAGTTACTGGAACATCCTCGTCTTCTTGATAGTAATCCAACCTGGCCATTGATATGTGGTCCGCAGCGTATCCCTAGCAGTTTATTGCTCTTCTAAAACAAATTTCTTTAATATTTAACATAGTAAGCAACTAAATCAGTATTTTGGATTTTCATATTTCAAGATCATTAAATTACCTTGAATTAAATAATATATCCGCTCGGGAATTAATGAACCATACGAGTACAAATGATATACCAGCTACTGAACTTCCTAAAATCATAGTGAGTTGTTCGGTTGCTGCTGAAGGTTTCAGGAACATTCTTACACTTAATGTTTGCCATATAGATTCTGTCCATGTTGAATACACTCCGGATTTCATGTCATACCCTATTCAGAGCATAAAAACTTTGTAATACTTTGTTTTGAAATATCTGCTTTCACTAGTCAACAAACTTACCATCAATAATAAATGCTGGACTCATAGCTGTGCTATAATTTACACTGGAATTTATACATAAACCTGAATTATTATCACCAGCCATCCAAATAAGGTGGTTTTCATAACATGTTGTTTCTGTCATATTTGCAACTTCCTCTCTAGTCAGATATGCAAGAAGTTGACCAGTTAGTGTTGTGGCAATATTTGGTACCCTATGTACACCAACATATAGTGATAAAACTTGATTAATTAATTTAGCGTTTGGAGACGAAGCAGCATGAAACAAAGGGCATTTAGCACTTTCTAAATAACATTTCAACATTTCCAAAATATGGTGTTCAACAGATTGGAAAGAATCATAATTGTCGAGAGACCCGGTACTGACTACTTCTTTGTAAAGGATTTCAGCGACATGAACTGCTATCTTTGCTAGAGCAGTTGCAAGCCCATTTATGTCGCTCCTAAAAAGGAACATACTTTATATAATCAAACCTTAAAATAGAATCTTTATGTAAAAAGATATAACATTAAAATATAGTACCTATTGAAGCTAAGACTTTCTGCGTCATCCAAAATCCCATTGTAATATTTGTTTTTAAATTGTTGACCGTGGTCACTTATAACAACAGCAGTCAAATCTGGCTTTTCTTTTAAGAAACTCTGTATAGACGTAGGCGGAACGCTGTCTTCTAAAACCGTAGCATTTAACGCTACTTGTATCTTTTTTATCATTTCGTCATTTTGCGCATTATTAGAATGAAGAAATAATTTTCCTTTAGTCAGTTGGCCAAATTCGATCACAGTTTTAATGTCATCAAACTTTAAATTTACTCCACCTAATGCATTGAAATTACCTTCTTTCAAATCATAAATGAATCTACTAGATCCTATATAGTCAAAAGCTTCTCCATTTAATAAAGAGAAAACCACATTAGTGTCTGAAAAAAAGGACATAAAGAGCAATTAAAAATATTTTTATATGTATAGCTTATATTATACATAGTACACTGTTATACTTACTTTCCACTACAGCATCCTTAGCTAATATATTTAAATAATAAGCTGTAGCAAGTAATGTTACTAATCCTGTGACCACATTGCCTGCTCCAGGTGATATTCCATCAAACAAAGAAGATGCATCTAATCTAGCTGTCACCAATATTATGGAGTTTTTATCTCTATTTATGGGAGCTAACGGCCAATATATATTCCTATCTCCTAAAGGATCACAAAATTGTGTAGGATTGAAGTTCAATTTAAAATCACTACGTTTAATGCAAGATTCAGAGTTAATTGCAGCAAACATGAATGACTTCATTTCTAGTGCACACAGTGGTCTGTACTGTTGATTTTCCATATCAGGAGCATTATGTTTTAAAAAACAAGATTTTACAGCTTCTATCAGTGTTTGATTCTGAAATTAAAGATTGATATAATTAATTAAACAATAAAATATATGAATTTTAAAAATAAATTAATTATATAAGATTTTAAAGACAACCTCTGTATAAAACATGGGAAAAGGCCAATCTTCCATGAGCAATGAGGATCCATAAGGATTCCACCCCAAATCCTGGCACTTTTTATAGCCTGAATATCGATTGGGACAAGTATCTTCAGGAGAATAATATTCAGGATGTGGTTGACTGGTATTTTTAGTTAATAAAACTCCATTTATATTATGTGTATTTCTTAAACGAAGTAATATGTCTCTGGTAAACATAGAAAATGTAAGAATTACAGTATAATCTCCAACATTAGCATTTTGTTCAAGCCATCTGATATCATTTTCATCTTCCACTAAGTGAATAACACCAACACTTCCTGACCTACTTGCTATAACAAAAAATAAAATATCTTATGTAATTTACCTCTGTTATCAATAATTAATTTAGTTCAAATAAGGTTAAAATTATTTAAAAGAAAGTTACACAATGAAATAATGCAATTTAATATATGATAACCTTACAAGAACATCCAAATTGATGTGTTCCATTGTGTCTACGGAAACAGGCAGCAACTCCTTCAAAATTCATATAAATCATATCTTTTATTCTTTCTGCACCCACTAAAACAGGCAATTACATATCTATTAATTCTTATCGCAGAATTTTGCTGTCTTTTTTGTTTTATTTATGCAATGAACAAAGAAATAGCTGTTTTTAATTGATAAAAATTTCCCAATTGATACATAATATTTTCCCTATGTTTAACTTTATTTCAAAATAGAAGGTTTATAATTTTGCACTTTATTAAATTACTCATGGAAAAAAGATCTTATATTTAATCTTTTATTCAATTGTAGAAATAAAATTTTAAGTATCTTTTTTATCTTACCTAAATGTACGATAAGAAATATTAGAAAGTATCCACAACCTAAACATTTTGCCATTTTTCTTTTCGTGGTGGCACCTGTCAAGAGATTGTTTTATTTTCCTTCCACTATTGCTATGAATCCTTTTCACACAGGTTAGACACGATGACACAAATGCATCGCGTGAATCAGAAAATAATTGAACGTTTCATATTTCGCTTGGTTTTACCTACTAGCGCCATCATACTGCAATCTAACTACTAGAAATTGTATCTGCCTTATGATTTTCTGGATCACTACGGTAAATTAGCATCGATAGAACTTACACACATTCTTCTTTTATTCTAAATAATTAAATTTAATTTCAGTAAGAAATATTTAAAATATATTTAATTACTATCAATATATCACTTTACATTATTTAAAAATAATGTAAAAGAAAAATATATATAATTCAACAATTTATTAAATATCTCATTTCAATATGCATTATGGCGGTGAAGTAATTTAAATGAAATTACTCGTTTGATTAATTTTTAAGATTCAATTGTGTGTAGAGTGGCAAAAATATTTGTGAGAGAAATGAAAATTAATTAAATTAAAGAATGTACCCATAAATATTACGTTCCTGAGCATCGTAATCATTCATTAGTCATTCTCATTTGGTCTAAGTTACACGTTCTAACTCTCTTTTTTTATCTTTATCTTTTCTACGTATTCTTGTTTTCAAAAAAATGTTCGATAGCGACTGTATCTTTCCGCTTTTACTGGTCGTTTGAAACGCTATTAGGTTTTCTAAGTAAATTAACAACTCATCTATAAGACGTCATCATAACAAATAAATTATATGACGCGTGATATTAATTGAACGTCACGAATAAATACATTACATGTATTGTGTCGATCGCAATTTTAGATAAAGTAATTATTAATAATGAAATTAGTAATTCTTTGATCTTCTTATAAAATTCCCTTAATATTTTTATTTATTAAATTTAGTAAAAGCCATTTTGTTGTTTACAGGAGATCTTTCCACATCTTTGTAAGATAAGATCCAATAAAAAAGAAGAGATACGCTTATTCATGTTTTGTGTAATAAGCTATAAAGGTAAACAATTACTTCTATAATATTTAAGATTTCTTATATCAGACAAGATAATGGCTAAAGTCTTCTTTTCAATAAAAGAATAGTAGTTTAAAAATACTTTAAATGCAAAAGAAAATTTCTGAAAAATTGTTAAAAAAGAACTATTAAAATTTATTAACTTTGCTGTTTTGCTTACTCCTTCTTCGCGTCTGTGTCTCTTTATGCATACTCTCATTTTTTATACTCTGTTCATAAAAAGCGTGGAATACACATCACGTAGTAAAATCATGTTCAATCATCATGTCAAATCATCAAAAATATATTTAAACACTACTTATATTTTAATGATATGTATTTATTGCAATATAAGATCCATTTACTAAATTGCGATCTAATTTCTTTTTAACTAATTTGTCACACGCTAACTTATCAACTTTCAAGAACATTAAACTATCGAATTAAGCAGGTCTATCATAATTATATCGTAAGCACTTGAACTTTACATTTCATACGATTTTAGAATCTACGTAGAAGAAATAGTATTGGAGAAATATTATTTCCCTTTCAGAGGGGTAATGTTAAAATTTGGATCGAAAACAGATCGCGAATGAAACGCTGCGTTAACGCAACATTAGCCGTCAGAGGCCAACACAAAATTCCATACAAAGCGAAAGTATACTTCACCATTCGATTAAACTCGAAAGACATCATTCCTATATTTTTCAAATAATTTGTTATTCATTAATTCCTAACTTTGAACTCCTAAAAACAATAATCAGGTCCGGCATTTTCCCAAAATAGAGACGCAGAAAGAACGACACGCAGCGATGATGACGCATATCGGGTGAACGATACATGTATACATAGGATAGCCATGGGCGAATGCCTATGCACATACAGGTATCAATACACAGGGTACACGTGAGCTGTGAAACACGTGTATCTATTTCAGCTGCCTTTAGCAGTGTCGCGTGCGTCAAGCAGAACACCGTAGGCGCAGTGAGCAACTGAGCACAGTATTAACTCGAGACCGGTTTGTAGGGACGTGCGTTTAACGAAAAATATCTGCTAAAACAAAAAATTCTATCGGTCTCGAGAAGTCCGTTATAGAGTTACCGCGTAGAACTGGAGATTCCTCAACAAGAAAAACAAAAATACATACATACTTGGCAAATTGGTATTTGAAGAACATTGCGTGTCGTTTCGCTTCGACGTACCACAAAACACGAATATCTGCGTATTAGTAGGTGTGATCAATTATTGGGCAAGCAATTCGGACGATTCTAAAGGGGGATATGCGTAGTAACATGATGTTGAAATTCGACGGTCAGGTTGCAGGATTCGCTGCGTAACGTTCCGTGACAAGGAAAGTTGTAATACATAGAAATAGTTTTTTGATTGGAAACGGCGAAGCGTTATTAACGATCGTAGCAGTGCCGCGTAAACTGGACCAGATCTTGATTCGTTGACTGGCTACCTTTTCCCACCAGAGTTCTCGAAACTGATCTTATGAAGTGAATCTCTAGTGTTATATGTACTTACTATTTACATATGTATACGATGGCACGCGAAAATTTTTGAATACTTAGTACAGATATCTTGTAGGAATATATTATACGTGTTATATGAAACATTTTGAAATTTCTTCATTCTTCTGTTTCATTAAATTTGAAATCAATTTGAAGTTACGATATAATTAAGATTAAAGAAAAAAATCAATATACGATATGGACAGCCATTTGTGCTTAATGTACTGAATAATTGAATACTTAAATGCCTTTGTGATCTCTGAATTATAAATTATGATTGTGATGTGATGTATATATTTGTACTAAATATCTTGTAGCTGTTATATAGGTTTTCAGATTCTGAAAATTTAAGATCAGTCTGAAAATGTATATAAAAGTTACTAGATATTTATTCCATACATACACTTCACAAAGATGTCCAGAATATTTGAACAGTTGATTATTGATTATATTACTAAGCTACAATATTTAATGAGACCATCTTTTACGCTAACTACATATATTTAACATCACAATTCATGCTATATATTCGTTTTTTACTGAACGTATTTTTATAATAAATGACTGTTTCATTAGAATGTTAATGAAATTTCGAAACGTTTTTATATAACATGTATAATATTCATATTCATAAAATGTTTCTATATCAGTGACAGGTATTTGTATTTCATTCGTACTCAATGGAGAGAAGAAATGATAGTTGTGATTTCATAGGAAAATATATTTTCCGATATAGTTGGCCAGATAAACTAGATCCGTGGCCAGTTAGCGAAGCAGTGCTTGGTGTAATGAAGCATTACTTGGAGAAATGAGTTCATTGTTCAGGTGTATGACGACAGTGTGTTAACAATACGCGTGCTGTTTCAGGTAACAGTTTAACTGACGGGCAACCGAATCGAATGCTGGCGGCGAGCCACTGCAAAAGTAAATGGGTTTCGCTTCCAAAGAACACGACTCTCCTCCGCAAAGAGCTTTCGTTCCATCTGTCAGCTTGTGTCCCGCGATTCGCGTTCACTCGCAAATCACTGTTCTTAAGGAACGTAAAATTCAGTCACAACCGGGATAATAGGTAATGTTCTTTATATCTTTTTATATGTAAATATTTGTTTGCATTTTGATCTGTATAATTCGAATTTTCTAGAACACTGAATGATTGGTTGGTGTATGCATAATATGAAAAATTGTAAATTTAAGCTTAGGTTTCAGCCTCTTTTTTGTAGATGGACAATTTATTATCGATATTAGATATTATCGATATTAGATACATTGATCGAATGCTTTGGAATAACACTTTCTAAATGGTACAACGTTACAATTACGTTGGATGAAACGGTAAACTGTTTGGTAGATTCGTGCAGTAGCACTCGTTATTTAATGTCTGTTTAGAACTTCGCGCATCGCGTAACGAATAAAATATGACGAATTTAACGTTTAACGAAGCTTGACTTTCACCGCTGTTACTTATATTTGCCGTTCTAGCCATGTTCTTCCGACTAGCAATTTTATAAATGAGTTTGTAAAGGGTTAGCTAAATTTCCTAAGATTTGTACGTACCTATATTTTAAATGTTTTTAAAAATATAATATAATATAATATACAAATCCAGTATATCAAATAAAATGTATAAATTGTAAAAAATATAGAAAAAATTGCTTATTTTCTTACTAGATACTATCGAAAAAAATATAATCTTTTTAACAGGAATAAAGAACGAAGTGTTTAAACAAGTATTCGATAAGTAAAGGGAATCGAGTAGGTATCGAACGATGTTTAATTAGTTAGTCATTTATATCAGTTTCCTTTCTCTTCGTGATACACGTGAGTCGCAAAGGAAAACACGTGCATGGTCTACTGGGAACCGGCAACAGTCTCTGCAAGTCCATGACCTCCTTTTACGGATTACAAACGTTTTATTGAGCCCGCAAAATATTTAATATTTGAGCACAAATGCGCATCAACGCAATGATTATGTAATATTTATTTCGTTTGATTAATATTCGTCTCATTTATTTTCATTGTTTCTCCGATCCAGTTATGATCTTTTTTATATATTTTATTTTTGATAGTATAAATTCTTTGCTCCTTTCTTTTCTTCTTGACTGTCAAATGTCACAGAATCTATCGAATTCCGCGTCATTTTTTTACGTGTAAAAAAACAAAGAATTCTCCACAAATTCACTGAAATATGATATTATTACCAAGTAAATCGTTATTTCTATTTATTTCTAGAGAGAATTCTGCTGCAACGATAAAAGATCCTCGTGGACCCAAGATTTAGGATTGTCAAAGAAAGAATTAGAATACTTTAGAAAACTGAAGATTTTGAATTCTCAGAGAAAGGATCAGTACTCTTCAGAACACTGAAGATTTAGAATTTGATATGCGTATACTTAGCACTTGCTGAAAATTTCTTGCTGTCCTGTCATAAATTCTATTATAAACATACGCTACGTCGTGCTACTTTGAAAAAAGAAAAAGAGTAACGAAGAGTTAATTAACTTGACTAGCAGTATCATTTATCAAACTGGAGATCCTCTTGATACGGGCAATGCACGTGATCCGCAAACGCTAGCACGTGAATAGCAATATAGCTAGAGGTTAAGGAACATTTAAAACATTTTACTTAGTCCATGACCGCTTTCTATAGCTATGTAACGATCCTTTTACCTGGGTATACGGCTCAAAGTATACACAGACTCCTTATAAAGTTAGCTGCGGAACCTAGTGCAACGGCGCATACCTAGCACGTGCATGTCCTAGTCACAAGCCTCTCCGTGGTCCCAATTCGATCAGTGTTTTCTCTTGCACAACGATTGTAACAGCCTTTCCAATCGTCCTTTCGCTTTTTCTCGCCGCTTCCTGCGGCGGAGGCCGTACGAACTAGCTCTCTTCAACTATGAGTCGAAGGTATTGCATTCCTCGGCGTAACAACTTTGTCCGTTCCACGAGTTCCTGAAGAGTCATAGTAGCGTGGAGCCTATCGAGGCTGTCTGCACGCTAATCGGATACCCATTGAACATTTTCGGCGGTTTATGGTTTCTGTGGCTGGTATAAGATTAATTATATCAATTGTATCGGTGGTATAAAGAAAGTGTTCAAGTTGTGGAATTTTTTGGAGACTTCCTTTGGAGTATATTCTTTTTTAAGGAACAATTAAGGATTGTTATACCGGCGAAAGTAAGATTTTGGGAAGAGCTAATGGGATGGAAGTAAATATAGTCTGTAATATAAGATTGTGAACATTATGCCTCTGTGAAAATTAATTCTTTTTATAAAAAGATTTATAATATCATAGATGATGGTACATATAAGAATGTGATACACTTTTACTTAATAGTGGGCTCAACCCTGTACGTTATTATCATACAAATATCGCAACTGGAATGATATAATGTTCACTGGTGGATTCCTCTTGATAAAGATGGAACCATCTATGAAATAAAAGTGTATTATTTTTGTAAATATATATTGCACCCATTTAATCATGCGTTATAGATTGTAAGTCTTTGGGAAGGACTAACGATGGATTGATTTACATATGTTTCGATGGTGTAGTTTGATTAGATTGATCATTTTTGATAAACATATATGAAATTAAATGGTGAAATGAGTAGAAACGAAGCGCGCTGATCATTGTGTCATTTGATTGATTAAGAATACTAAGTCAATTCAGCGGTGAAGAAGTACAATTTTAAATCTTTACCACAAGTCCTGACTAGATTTCTCTATTCTAAAAGAAACTTTTATTTGTAGTTTAAAGAGACATTATTAAATTTTTTAAGTTAATTAATTAGTTTTTCTGTTGGAATGTTTGCTGATAGATGCTGGCACTAATGAGCACTGCAAAGCCTGATTTCTTAGACATCGACAATGATAAGTTCAAATCCATCATAAAAATATCAAACAAAGACTCGATCGAACAAAAGAAGGATCGTTCCGGAAGCGATGACGACTCTTCGAAAACTTTGCAACTTCTACGAATTAAGGGATTTCCTCGATTGTTACCCGAAGGTTTAACTCACTTTCATTCCACAAGAAATAATCCAATGCTTGCTAAATTTCATCTTGAAAATATTCAGCTCATTCGGTGTTAATAATAACGTTAACGATTATAAGAAGTATGGATAAAAACAATATGATATGAACAAATTTTTGCAGGGATTAAGGCGTTGGTCAATTATTGTCGATACCTGCAAGAGTTGTCACTGTCCTATTCATTACTTAGCGACGAGTTACTATTAGCTTTGAGTTCTGAAAAACAGGTGCAATTGGAAACCCTGCGATTGGAAGTGCATCCAGAGACAAAACCACTTCCGCGAGTCAGCGATAAAGCTTGGTTTACCTTTTCAAGTCATTTGCCCAACATAAATCTTATACTGTGAGTACACCTTATATATTTACTTGTACCGTAAACGTTCGTTCTTATCTTAATCCTTCAGAGCATCGTAACAGAGCTACAATATTTAAACAGATTAATATGGGATACATTATTTCACGATATAAAATATTTTTGTATAAAAGGAATATCTAAATTCTATCAGGTGCATTGCGGTATATTTATATTATGTAAAATGTGAAATTCACTCTAAATTAGATTGTCCTATATGACGAGCGAAGACGATCAGAGTCCATTATTTGCACCGTACGTTCCTATAACGCACCTATACTTTGGGGAAGCGCCGTCGGAAGCAACTGTGTTACGTATTGGCTATCAGTGTCCCCGGCTGATTGAGCTAGTAATTGCAGCTTATGGACCCGGTTTACTCGATCACGTATTACTCTCTGTCGCTCAAAGATGTCCACGCCTAAGCGCCGTGGGTTTGGGTGATTGTGAAATCACGTACGTAACACATTAATTAAATTTGTCTATACAGTAAGCAAATGCTTATACGTAACGAATAGAAATAACAAATTTTATATTGCGAAACATTTTTTCAATTTTCCAATATCTCCAGCTATTACATTATATTTTTAAATCTTGTATTATTTACTTCTGTATTATCATGCTGTAGTTTCTTTTTAGTCGATCCTAATTAAATTAAAATAATTAAACGACGATGATCTGTTTTCCTTAACATGTTTAGTTGCTCAGGATTGTTGGAATTTGTTACGCTCTGTGCAAAACGTTTGCGGATACTGTACGTTTGGGAAACGTCATTGATAGAGGATTCCGAACTTGACGTCGCAAAAGTATCAAAGAATGTCTCATTGCTCCTTGGTCGTACTTGGGTACCTGAATATATACCATTATGTTGAGACTTAATGACCGATGCAATTTATTACGATGCAAATACACTTAGTGGCCGACAATAGTTTGCGCATGTACCAAAAATGTGAGTAGACGATAAACGGGACATTATGGATATGTATCCATAATCGTCGTCCATTCCTTACATTAAAAAAAAAAAAAAAACAATGTAAAAAATCATAATTTGTAGCATAGATATTATATGCATATTATAGGTTTCCAATAATCTTAGGATTGATGTTCACAAAAATGCCTTTCCGAAGACCACAATGTTAATGATTGAGATAAAAAGATGTGCACACTTTTTGACACATGAACGACCCAACACGTTACCGATTGATCACATGCGATTCATACATACAAAAAACAATACCGAAAAAAATCTCGTATTGTAAAAATTGCTCGTGTCTGTTAATACCAAAAATATAAACTTTATTAGATTATAATGGTATCTCTTGCGTGTAGTGTATATAAAATAAAATAATACCACTACATATTTAGCAATCGTCACGCATGATAGATGTGTATAATACATAATAATTAATATAGTCTATAATGTTATTGTAATACAACAGAGTATGTACATTATTTCTACATTATAACATAATAAATCATTGGGTATACGATATCTCAAAATTTTGATTGGGTATACGATCAGGTAGTTACGATATCTAATAACGTTAACAATTAATATCCTTAATATTTACTTGTTTTTCAATTATTTTGTTTCATCTTCTTTTTTTTTTTTACATTTTACTTATGCTACTTTAAAGATGCGAGGCGCTCAGTCTTGTATTCCAGCCGATATATCCAATCTCTCGTCTCACTAAGGCCGATTAAAATCTTAACGTTTCGAACAATTTGCAAATTTCAGCTAAGTTTATGATAAATTATATTTTAATTGTAAGTAAGAATCTGCATCGCTTTTTATATCGTAATAATTCTTATATTATAATACATAACACGTAGATCGTGTCGAACAAATATTATACTTTTATGTACATTATAATATTTTCAGTTTTCAATGAAATAAATAGCAATTTAAAAAGGAAGGTGATAGAATTTAAATTATTCAATATGTACCACCAACATGCTATATATTTTGTAACATCGTCGATTATAAAACGTATTTATTACTCATTAGCATCCGTTAAGCAACTGATAAGTAGTAATCATAGTCAAAATTAGTTTAACATTTAAAGTAACAGAGCCCTTTGAACACACTTATATTACATATTAAAATGGTTACCTCTCTGATAGTATTAATATAAATATTTTTATGAGAAATATTGCGAAACTTTTAGGAACATGTAGAAAAATTATTCTAATGTAAATGTATGACTTTTGTTTTTTGTTCTATATATTATAAACAGACTCGTTACAGATGTATGTTTAAAATTTGTTATTAAAATGAAAATTATTCGAAAAAGGGCTCGTAAATATAATAAAACGTTTCCAAGAGAATAAAAATAAAATGTAATTAATTTTATTATTTTTTCGTGTAGTCAACAATTTTTGTTCATTAATTGTGACAATCTCTTGAAATTTACTAGACGAATAATACAGCCATGTCTTATTCACAATACAAATTTTGAATATTAAATAATGTAAGATAAAAACGGTAATCTTTAAAAGAAAATGTAAAACCGTAATTAATCATATCGTTCACAGCTTTACTCGTTTTTACTTTTTACTATTTATGTTATCTTTATATATACGTATGTATACATACAAATTTTTTTTACAAATAATTCAATGTTGACAAACGTTATGTTAACGAAAAGTCAGACAGTTACGCATTAATCAAAACTTAGCTATATACATAATAAACTTCCTGGACATGACCTGTACAGTGCTAACAAATCCTAAAACTTGGAGTATTATTTACATGAAAGATTTTCCTTGGTAACAAGCTTCAAATGTACATTTACGACACTCTGCAGGAAAATCTATTTAAAATATAATATATTACAAATTAAGCTTAGCCCTGTACAGATCACGATACACTGAGGTTTAGTTTCAATTTTAAACACAGTTCACAGTTGCATATAAAACATATCTAAGATATTTTTAATTTTTTTTAGCACCAGCTTAGGCATATTCACCATTATTTTATACCTACTACTTTTGGCAAAGTAATAATAATGCTACCGTTACGTAAAGTTTACGAATAACAGGCTTAATAAAATAGGTCGGCAATTATCCTATATCATTATAAAGGAGCAATCAAACAAATGGACGGGTTGGTTGCTTATTCTACGCATAATTTAAGTGTTTGGATAGACATAAAATTGATGCAGCTTTAAGAGACAATGATTTTGAGCACTGCGACTGCTAAATTTGCTCTAGGGGCATTTCATGTAGATGCATCCAATATTGAACTCTATCTTCAAGTAGATCGTATTAAAAAATCTTTCAAGATCTTTTCTACCAAATCTTTACAATGATCATGTAAGGCTTAAACCCCACGAATAAAATGGGTAATATAATTATGATTGCCTTAGCGCACAGTATGTTTAACAATAACAAGACTTTCATATCGTACCGAAAATAACAATCTCCCACTTTTTTTTTATAATTCTGTTATTATTTACGCACCTATCCATCACTTGGTAAGATATCGCATCTGGTATGAACCAATCATATGGATAAAAATATTTCATATATCCGAATAGACCCTGTAACATAAAATATTTCTTTTAAATTGACATTAATTGTCTATATCTATGTATATTTATGCGTACCTAAACAATATAATCAATCCGGCATATCGATAGAAATTATAGGTACGACGGGTTTCATTAGGTCGACTTTTTTAACGTATTTTTCATTCTTTTCCGACACCATTGGTTGGTCTGATGGTGGTTGGTCCTGCTCACTTCGTGGTTGATAAGAAATATTACCATATTCTTGGAGCAATGGACATAATCCCAATAAAAAATGACAAAAATCTTTCCTAACACCAAACCACCCTAGAATAAGTAACAATTTTTTCTTAACACTCTGGGGATTGTATTATTTGTATTATTCAAGCATGTAATGTAAAAACACATTCATAACATTTTGTTTACAGCACCCATTGCTTCTTTACTGTTTTATTTAACAGTAGTTAACATTTTTATAGGATATCATATGAAATACGTAAGACGTGAATTCGCGTCTCCGGTCCCCAACCATTGGAGAAGTAAAGACGCGAATTCGGTCCTTAAAGTGTTAATAGTAATAATTTTATCATTTTAAGATATCTAATTTTATATGAAATCTATATTAGATATTGTTGTCTTACATATGTTTCCTCCTTTTGCCTCAAATGACATAAAAATAAGTGTTACATGAGATATTAAAAGTGGCATTACTACTGTTGTATAATTCAGTGAAATATCTCCATCTAATTTATTTGCTAATAGTACCTAGAACGAATAAAATCATAGTATTAATGAAATTCGCTAAAAAGAAAATTAATTAAAAGAAAATTATTGTAATTCTTACTTGGAACACTAGGACTGGAACCACAAGAGATGTATATGCCAATGCTGAGTACAAAGATGTCCGCCTTTGTCTGGCATTAATCTGTGGAGTTCTTAATAAAACAGCAGCAAACACTATTGCATATAGTACTGCAACTAAAGATAATGATAACAGTGCCCAAAGGGGAGCAAACACTACTTCCCAGCTCCATGTAATTATACCATCCAGTTTTAATGCTAAGAAAATAAATTGCAGAATATTTACTGCACAAAATAATTCAAAATCAAATAATCGATCGTGCTTTGCAGCCCATATACAAACCTAAAAATATAAGAACATTTTCTGTAGAATCAATCCATACCTTCCAGGTATACAATTAAAAATTACTTACAACTATTGATACAGCAGAGATGAAGATAAGTGGTATAAATACAAGCATCCAAAGGTGTCTTTCAGATTCTAATTTATCACATACTAACAATTCAAACATTAATAGAATCAAATGTAATGCCAATGTAATCAACATTGCTTTATAATGTATATAAGCATCTCCTTCCAATCTTGCATGTGGATGCTTCCACCAAACATAACTTCCAACAGTAGCACCCAAAATTACCATGCTTTTCCAGAACCATATTGGAGTAAATACAGTCCAATAACTCCATTCTATGAAACCATCCAAACGAAGTGCAAATAAGATTGTGAATATCATCAAACAGCAGTGTACCAAAAATTTACTAAAATATAAATTAGAAATGATTAGTATATTTTGTTGCATATACTTTCATAAACATTTTTAAAATTGCATAAAGAATATGTTATAAAGTTTTATAAAATTTATTATCAATTATATTTATTATTTTAAATAATAATTTCCAATGATTACAAAATATATATCATAAATAGATAAAATATTGAAACTGTATTACTTTCGATAATTTCCGACAAAGGTCAACAATGATAAAATGTGCTGAATGAAGTAGCAGTTATTTGTTTAAAATAACCATCTGACCCAGATAAAATGTGTATCTTAGACTAAAATTGAAAATATTAATAGACCCTTGATGCAAATTATCAAAAGTTACGTAAGTTCACAAATGAAATCATATAGTTTTGCGAAGAATATCGAATCAGAAATTAAACAATATAAATCTTTAAACGCATGAAATAACGCTCGATGTTTTAAACTATATTGTATGTTCCAGTAAATATAAAATACCACTATATTACGCGAATTTATTATTAATTTGGAAATAGCATTTAAATTTTTAAAAATTTAAAAAAAGAATCCCCGTGCAATAATTTTTACCTTGGATTGAAATCCTGAAACAGCGTGTGGAGATTCATGATTATCAGAACGATTTTATAGGCCAACTACTTGATACAAGTCTCCGTAATGACCACTGCGTGCACATATATTCCGCTAAAAATCGTCTCATTTACCGAGGAAATTTATCGCGAAAAAAGACGAACGCTGAACATTGCATTTGCGTTCGATGAAAAAAAAAAATAAATCCCACCGTCTTACATGCGAAAATTCGAATTGTACTGAAATTAGCCAAAGGCCAACAGCTGTCGACATTCGATATCTTAAGTAAAACTCAAACTTTAGCAGAAAACTTCGTACCTATATGCACAAAGTGCAATTATGCATTTATAATCTCCAATAGTCAATATATTTAATTGTATTTAATGTATTTAATTAACAGTTTAAAATAAGATTTCTTAAAATAAATCTAGATTATAGAAATAGCAATTTATTTTTAAATTAATCCATATTAAACTTACAACATATAAATAAACTTATATTATAATTTAAGCTTGTAAATACAGGATTATTTTCTTTAGAGCAAAATATATTTTTTATTCGATTTTATTGTTGCTACGTACATATACCTTTGTATATCCAAGTTTAGTATAATAATATATTAAAATTGATGTTTAAGTAACACCATTGGAAAATTCTTATTTATATTTATTTTTAATACCCATTTATTAATATTAAGGATTTATTTATAATAAATATATATGATTAGGAATTTAATTTTTAAATGATTTTATATGATCACAAGTAAAATATTATTTAAAAAATTGTATTCAAAATAGAAGCGAATTGGTTCAACCAATCAGCGTTCGTGTATACGCCGATAACTTATAGATCGCTCTGCCAGTTTCCGTTATAATGTAAACGTGGTTCTTTTCGTGTGTAACGTTAGTCATGGCGGTCGGTAAAAACAAGGGGCTCTCGAAAGGAGGTAAAAAGGGCGTTAAAAAGAAGATGTAAGTAAATTATAATATTTCCTCGATGTATTTTAAATATCTCTTATGTAAAAAATGTAATTTTCTGTCTGATGTCGCTAAAGATGCTTGATATTGAAATAGATTCTCTACACGTAACAGTCAAATGTATGCGTATATTTCATGTTTAATATTACGATTTTGTCAATATTTATTCGTTTATATAAAAGATAATCTTAAAAGGTTGTATATTTTATCTAAATATAATTTTTAATTGTATAATTGAAAATTTAACTTCTAATGTTTATTACTCATTTTATTGACTTCTTTTTAAATAATGTTATATCAATAGAAATTTATTGAATTTGATGCTTTCAATGAATTCAACAAATTAAATTTTGAGTTAAAGTTTTCAAGTACCAAAACATTAAATTATAAGGAATTGTTATATCTAACCTAAAAATTCAACCATCCTAACCTAACTCTTCTTTTCTCACAGTGTTGATCCCTTCACCCGTAAAGATTGGTACGATGTTAAGGCACCATCTATGTTTACCAATCGTCATGTTGGCAAAACGTTGGTCAACAGAACACAAGGAACAAGTAAGATATTTTGTGTTAACAAAAATTTTGCAACTCCAGCTCCATAGAAGTTTTATTAATACTTTATATGGCGTTTTATGTTGCATAAAGAAAAGCAGACACTTACCATAATATTATTCTAATAATAGTATTAAAATTAGTTACTGCTATAAATTTATTTAAAATATATTGTACAGTTTATAATATTTTGTTTATTAATATTATGTTTATTGTTTTACAGAGATTGCCTCTGAAGGTTTGAAATATAGAGTATTTGAAGTCTCCCTGGCCGATTTGCAAAATGACGGAGACGCAGAGAGATCTTTCCGTAAATTTAGGTTGATTGCTGAAGATGTTCAGCATCGTAATGTGTTAACCAATTTCCATGGTATGGACTTAACTACAGATAAATTGAGGTCCATGGTTAAGAAATGGCAAACCTTGATAGAAGCTAATGTTGATGTAAAAACCACTGATGGGTATCTTCTCAGAGTTTTCTGTATTGGTTTCACTAACAAAGATCAACTGAGCACCAGGAAAACGTGTTATGCTCAACATGCACAAGTTAGTATTTATACAAAATAAACTTATGTTTTATCTAATATTTGCAACTTAAAGTGCATGAGAGTGGTATACACACTTTTGTGTTTTACAAAGTTGCATACAATAATATGCACTCACTTACCACATTACTTTTGGATTAGAGAGTAGTGATATTGATATTGCAACATTTTTATTTAATATATATAGATTATGAAGTTATTACTCATGCATAAGGTTACTTATGTGTACGTGTATTTTTATGTTTAGGTCAAGAAAATTAGACAGAAGATGGTAGACACCATTACAAATGACGTTACAAAGAGCGATTTAAAGGGTGTGGTTAGTAAGCTCTTACCAGATGCTACTGCCAAGGATATTGAAAAAGCTTCACAAGGAATTTATCCACTACACGATGTCTATATCCGCAAGGTATATAAGCAGTTTTTGTAAGCTTAATATTTTGAATAGATTTAAATATAAATGAGAAACTTATTACACTACAGGTTAAAGTATTAAAGAAGCCACGTTTCGAATTGAGCAAACTCCTAGAACTCCATGGTGATGGTGCTGGTAGCAAAAGTGAAGAAGTGGGTGAAAGTGGCTCAAAGGTTGACAGACCAGAAGGCTATGAACCACCTGTACAGGAATCTGTTTAAGGGAGTAATTCTCTTTCAATATTTGATATAAATAAAAATCACTTTCCAGTGAGAATATCATTCTCTATTTTATTCTTTTTATTTACCTTTGTAATGCTTTGGAAAAGAGCATATGAAATGATTTAATGAAATATTACTTTATTGGCAAACATTTATTCAAAAAATAATTGTATAATGCAATGTCTTTTATGAACTATTTTAATTAATTCAAAAAAAAAGTATGGAACAGTAAACAAAAAAAAAGGAATTTATAGTTTATTTGGTCGTAGGAAAAATTTAAATTGCTAAAAGTATTAAAAACTAGAGATCATTAATTAGTGCGACAGAGTTCGAGTAACAAATAACCAACTCCCTATTAGCAGTGCTCTGAAACTTTCACTCCAGGATGCTACCATATAGATTAGTAACACGAAGAAAAGTATCTTCGTAATCACGTCAACCCAATACATGCTGCAACAGAAATATAAAAATTTATTAAAATTGATAGGATCTGAGAATCATTTCACAAATAGATCTTACATCCTCAAGTGTCTTCGAGCAGCTGGCAAAGTTTCCGGTGGTTCATTTAGAATGTAAATTCTTGCTGCTCGTATACATGTCTCGAAATATGCGTCTATATCCATGTCTTTCCCGTGTAGCTGATATTTCTTATATTCCACAGGATTAAGTTTATTCCTTAGTTCGAATATATTCGAATTGTCGAAGTCCCATTGGTTGTTGGCGTAATACTCAAATACTTCGAAACCTTTTTGTATTCGGCGTTGTACACGACACATACTGTTTATAGTAAGAGTTTTATGTCCTTTAATGTGGTCAAAGTGTTTTGATTTGCAAATAATTTAACATCTGTAGTTCAATAATTGCAATATTTAGATGTACTTAGGTATACTTACATTGGTTTATAGCCTGCAAGAAAAATAAGTCCGTCTATGAGGTATGCGGGTATCATATGAAAGAGTAGAACACATATATTGTGCATGAGTCTCGATTTTTTCATACTGCCACCTGGGTACCAAACAACCCCATTCAAAGGTACCTTTTCTGTTATTTTTCGACCTCTGGCAATAATCTCTGCCCATGATACCTAAATGAAACAAACTGAATTATAAACTACATGTATAAATCATTATCCAAAATTACTTTTATTAAAAGATAATACACCTTAAATTCACTGCTACTTGTAAGATTATAAACTCTCTTTTCATGGTCCTTGCAATATATAAAATTCCAAGAACTGGCAAGAATTGCATTTACCGCAATATCAACAGGAAGATAATCTGCATAACTACTGTCATTACAATACATTGTTCGAATAACACCTTTACCAGCACCAATTAAAAGTCCTGTGGGACCATTGATATTGTCTGTCCATCCTGGCACTGGTTCTTTCCATATAGGTATAACTATACTTGGTCTGGGGGGTAAAATAATCTTCCGCAATTAAAAATACTTTATACTCTGCAAAAATTATTTTTATCTATACCTTAATATAATTGCTGGAATATGTGGCATTGCTTCTTCAACCAAGCCTTCGGACAAAGCTTTGGTAAAGGCATACGTATTGGGAAGGTGTCCTAAAATTTTATCTGTCATAGCTTCAACTACATCATCATCCATCCATTCAACACATTTGATTATTTTATGAGGATCTGCAGGTGGTGGATATGGTTTCTCTCTTAAAATCTAGAAGAAAATTATATATTACTCCAAGTATATATTACTATAAATAAGTATAATATGTTATAGTACCTTTTCTTCAAGATGACAATATGCTGTACTGATATGAGCAAACAGTTTCAGATGTTTCATCTCCTTGGCTAATTCTAACATTTGCTTTGTACCACGTGTGTTCAGTAATACCGCTTTCTTCAGCAATTCATCAAATCTGTAACAATTCAATGATTAAATCGAATATTATTTTCAAGTTATTTACACATAATCCAAATATACTTCATTTTGCACCACGTTACCGTACTGTGGCAGCTGCATGGTACACGATATTTATCTTTTCACAAAGCATCTTTCTATCTTCTGAGGAAATTCCAAGCCCAGGTAATGATACATCTCCACTTACAACAGTTACTGATTTTTTAAGTACCTCTGCACCCCTTTGCCTCTTCACTTTCTCAAAAAGCTAAAATAAATGATTTCTAAATCAGAGTGGAATTACATTTGTATGAATTATTTTGCTCAATTTATGAGACTGACCTCTTAAAATTTAAAGCTTAATATATCAATGGATTCATTTTTGATCCTTGGATTCTTGGGTTCTATTTTACTTTGTTCTACTTGTTAGTAAAAAATTAATTCAACGTTTGTCAGAAAATT